ATTTTCCTCCCCTCATACTGCCTGTACCTCAGCACCCCAGGGCTCAGGTCAGGTAAGGTAGGTAAGGTATGTACCTAGGCCACCCCCCCTTGTCCCAGTCACTGGACTTGGGACGCACTCCGTCATTCCTCGTCCAGCTGCGCGCGCTAGTCTGCCCTGCCGTGTGGTCCGCGAGGCCTCAAGCCCAAAAGGCAAAGACCAAAGAACAAGACGCACAATCCACCCCAAGGTGCGGGCTGCGGGCTGCCCCTCTTTCAAAGTACCTCCCTACCTTACCTCTCTCCCCTACCATGCCTTCCCAAGTACCTCACGGATACCCTACCTTAGGTACCTTACGGTCCTCACCTTGCCTACTTCATCCACGTCTCCACCACCGACCACTCCTTCCCACCAACCAACCCACCGCGCGTTTCTCTAAACGGCGTGACAACATCCTCCTTCTCCCATCTCTTGGGTACCCAACCTGAACTTCACCAAACTTCCCACCCACCCGTGCATTGCTCTTCCTCTTCTCACCTTCAAGTGGCATTTCGCCTCGACTTTCGTCGTCTCCAACATACAGATACCTCAACACAAAGCTCCTCCCGTCAGCTACCAGCCATTACACCCAACACCCATCTGTCCTCGAAATCACTTCGGTTCCAAATCTCACGATCCTGCTTCGCCGCGCACGAAGAAGCACTGTCTCCCGTCTGCCCACCCGCACCGCACCGCACCCACACCCGCAAACCACCCACCCCAGCAAACCAAAGCTCCCCAGGGCAATCATCGCCTCTACTCCATTTCTTTCTCTCTCAACGCACCTTGCCTGTAGCCGCCGGCCGCAACTACTCTGAGAGCACCACGAGAGGAGAAAGGTTCAATCTGCCATCTTGTCTTCCTACAATCCCGCCTTCGTCGACAATTTCCAGTCATTGTAAGTAATTCTTGCCTCTCTCCTTCTAGCTAGCCCTCCTCCATCCAATTCCTCTCACTTCGTGTCCCATGAGGCAAAAACATTATCATCATCATCATCATCCTTGAGCTTGCTTGCTTGCTTGGTCCGCCTGCCCTGCCCCTCAGCGACGTGCTGTGCCGTCATCACCACATTCCCCCTTCCCAGTCCCCCTTCCCCCTTCTTATCACTCGCTTCCACGACGCTGGACCGCAATCCGCCGAATCTTGCCCTGTTTCTCGGCCCGTCATCAGCAGCTCACCTACACGCGAGAGAAGTGGTCTTTGCTGTGTTGTGACCTTATTTTCCGCCCAAGGTGTTTCTAGGTAAGGTAGCTGCCTCACTCGCACTACCAGCCTGCACGTACCTGGCATTTTCCCCTCTGCCTGAGCGAAAAATCACCTCACTGCGTGCTGCATGCATAGCGCAGCGCATATACACACACAGCACTGCCCACCCCCTCTTATCCTCTCTGTCTTGTCTGTCTTGTCCTAAACTTGTCCTGTCCTGGCTTGCTCTGCCCTCCTCTTCCTCCTCTGGCTGCTACCTTACCTTTTCCAATACTTCCGCTTCTTCTGCTCCTCGCCTTGCCACCATTCGCCTTGCATCGTCGCCATCATTCATATTCCCCTGCCCTGCCATTTTCTCCCTCTCCCTGTCAAAATACCTCCACACCCCGCACCCCTCGTCCGTCCGTCCGTCATCCTCGCTCATCACTGCTCGTCGCACAATACGCTCCATACCCTGCTCATCGTCAACCTATCAATCACGACCGACTTGTTCAAATCTCACACTACCATCAGACGGTCTGCTAATCAACCAAACCATCAGCTCCTCAGAGATTGCTCAACGTCGACTCTGAAACAAATCCAGAATTTCCTTAGCGGGCAAGACTGAACCGATCCCCGACGCGAATCCGCTACCGGCGCCGCTCTCAATTACAACCTGCCTCGCGACCACACCTGCATCCATTTCTTTGGCTCTCGAAACAAGCGATTGGTTCGTCGGCTCCCTACTTCACTCTCGTGCAATTACCCTTGCACGAATCCCACGCCAGCGAAGCATAGTTCTCGTCCTCCGCTGCCCATCACGGCCCGCCTTCGAGTCTCGGATCCGTTACCCCTCACTCTCGATCTCAACTCGCCCAACATCGGCCAACAATAGCAGGGCTTTGCCGTGCTGACAACACCTTCCGAGCCATGGCGCAGAACCGCCCCGCCGCCTTCAACACTCTCAGAATGGGAGGTAAGCTACAGCCAGCTGGAAACCAATTCCTTACACTGCCATACTAACGTGATCGTCAGAGGTTATTCGCGAAAAGGTCCAGGACGGGATCACTGGAGAGACAAGAGATCTCCAGTACACGCAATGCAAGATTGTCGGCAACGGCTCTTTTGGTGTCGTCTTCCAGACCAAGCTCTCGCCCTCAGGAGAAGATGCGGCTATTAAGCGTGTCCTCCAGGACAAGAGGTTCAAGGTTCGCCCTCATACCTACCAACCATGCTTCGCTGCGGCATGCTGACTTTTCCAAAGAACCGAGAACTGCAGATCATGCGGATTGTTCGGCATCCTAACATCGTACAGCTGAAGGCCTTTTACTACTCCAACGGCGAACGCGTAAGCATCGCCCTATACCCGAATCCAAATATGTACTGACACGACACAGAAAGATGAGGTGTATCTCAACCTTGTCCAGGAATTCGTGCCCGAGACCGTTTACCGTGCGTCCCGCTTCTTCAACAAGATGAAGACGACAATGCCCATTCTCGAGGTCAAGCTTTACATCTACCAGCTCTTCCGCGCTCTCGCCTACATCCATTCCCAAGGCATTTGCCATCGTGATATCAAGCCTCAAAACCTTCTCCTTGATCCTACTTCAGGCATTTTGAAGCTTTGCGATTTCGGTAGCGCCAAGATCTTGGTCGAGAACGAGCCAAATGTGTCGTATATCTGCTCTCGATACTACCGTGCACCAGAATTGATTTTTGGTGCCACAAACTACACTACCAAGATTGGTAAGCTCATTAACGCCGTCGGCGGCCCCCAATGCTAACGTTTTACGACAGACGTATGGTCTACCGGTTGTGTCATGGCAGAACTGATGCTCGGACAACCTCTCTTCCCTGGAGAGTCAGGCATCGATCAATTAGTAGAGATCATCAAGGTCCTGGGCACGCCGACACGGGAGCAAATTCGCACCATGAACCCCAACTACATGGAACACAAATTCCCACAGATCAAGCCGCACCCCTTCGCTAAGGTCTTTAGGAAGGCTGATGCGAACGCTATTGACTTGATCGCGCGCCTTCTTGAGTATACCCCTACCGAGAGACAAGCAGCGGTGGAAGCCATGGTCCATCCCTTCTTTGATGAGCTGAGAGACCCGAGCACGAGACTGCCCGACTCTCGTCATCAGAGCGGCGAGATCCGGGATCTGCCACCTCTTTTTGACTTCACTCGCCACGGTAAGTGCTCTACTCCGATTACATTCGCTTCGTGATTTCTAACAACTTTGCTAGAACTATCGATTGCCCCGAACCTGAACCACCAGTTGGTGCCCGCGCACATCAAGCCCGTACTCGCAGGAAGAGGATTGGACATTGACAACTTTACCCCGATTCCAAAGGCCGACATGATGGCCAAATTGGATTGAGCCAGTCGAGACTTGTCCAGGAACTCAGCGCACTCGTGGATCGTTCCCGACTTATTTCGGCTGCCAGCCTATCGTTCGACCAGCGCACACCGAGATGGAGTTATTGCATGAAGCGTAGGGGCATCGGCCTCGACCGGACGATGGACCAAATGATGATGAGATATTAAACGTGCGACGACGACTTGAAGCTGAACTGCATCGACTGCTCAAAGCGCAAAGGCTTACTGGCGAGGATTTGCGAGGTATCTTGTGCTTCGTCAAGTGTCAGCCCTTCCACTACAGTGTAGAGGAGGCACGGCAAGAACTGGGCTATTGGGGCATGCCTACGGATTTTGCAATACATGGCCACCTTTTCATAGGAGGCTGCATTGCTGCGTATTGCAAAAGCCGCCATTCTGGACTATATTACGATACAGGATTCGGGATGGCTTTCACTTTGTTCTTCACCTTGTTACCGAAAACGCTTCAGGTCGCTTTGGCAAACGATTGTCTGGACGGTTCAGCCTCACCTTTCTTCGTCTTCTCGTCACTCAGTATGGTCTGGCAAGACTTCCTCAATTATCAGAACTCGGGAGTGCGTGGAAGACACTACGTGCGATTGTGGGGTTAAATCATCTCATGGTTGTTGGTAGAGAAATGAGGAAGCTCCGGAGTCGGGATGCCCTCTCCTGTTGGTTGGGAGACGTGGGCGGTAGGTCTGGATTGGTATTAGGCATGATTCCGAGGAAAAGATTTTAGCTTTCTCTGTTTATTCATGGCAACGCAACGATGGCGAGCCAAGGAGGTCAATTAAAAGGGTCGGGACTGGCTACTTTGCTCAGACATTGGGAAATACTGCTGTTATGAATTTGGCTTGGAGTGGCCTAGCAGAATAACTGCAAGGCAATCGACTCTATTCTTCATTCTGGGCTCACAGCCGGTACTTGGTCAACCTCGTTTGCATGTGGTGATGTGTTATGCTCGACCGCCGCAAGTAGAAAGTTGAAGCCAAGAGGCCCTTCGACGAGGTCGGGTGTACAGAAAGGTATTCAAGCGACGCGAGGTACGACGGAAGTGAGGTACCTAGGTAGGCAGTGATGGTAGGCACTTTTAGGGGTACCTGGATGTATGTCTTCGCTCTGCATCTGTGGGGTTCTGCCTCAGGCCAAAACGCAACGTCTGATGGTCTTTATGGGCGGGCAGGGGCCACCGGGGCCAATGGACGCGGCCTCCACCTACCTTAGTGCCTCAACTTACCTTACAGGTGCTAGCAGGGGAAGCTCGCGTCTTCCCTCCGTCACTTTTCGACGTGGATCCTGCCTCGAGGCTACGTGCAACCGAAAGAATCTCGTCCCCGGTTTACCAATTGGCTTTCTCACACACATCAGCACCATATCTAACCTTGCCCAATTATCAAACACGCAGCCGGCTGATATGGGCGACTACGAGAGAAGACGTTACCATGGTGGTGGCGGCGGTGGTGGTGGAGGCTACAACAACAGGAAGAGAAGGTATCGAGGTAAGCTTTTCTCCCCATCGTGCGCCCTGTCTCTGTTTCAGCGCAATTACACCAACTTACTCTGGCCACGACAGACGACGATGACAATGACCACCGACAGTCGCGACGAAGGATCGATACCGCACCCCTTCCTGTGAGAGTGCGTAGACAACTCCTCTCTCTCGCCGAATCCCCGCTGCGACGCTGGCATGAAGAGGTCCAAGGCATCGCGCACGTCGTCGCCGAAAACGCAGAGGACGCCGAGCTACGCGAGAGCTTCGTCAGTCTCGTCTTACAGCTTTCGCTAGAACAACCGCTCAAGACACCGTTCGTCGCTGGTGTGGTTCTGCTCGTGAACACGCTCAAGCCCGAGATTGTGGATGAGGTTCTCACCAAGCTGAGCGCCGCGACTCAAGAGAAGATCCAAGCGGGTGAATGGAGGGATGTGAAGCTATATCTCAAGTTGCTTGCGTGCCTACAAAGCTCTCTGGACGGCGAGGGAATTTTCCCCGTCCTCGAGGAGCTATTTGGCCGAGCGGTAGACTTGCAAACCGCGAGTTCTGATGACGTAGACATCCCCTGCCCTTTGCTACGTTTACCCAAGTTGCTGACATGCTTTTAGACGATTGGCACCGAGCTTGTGAAGATCATTCTTCTCACAATTCCGTACATCATGTCAGCAGCGCCCGATCAGTGGCTCCAAAAAGCCGCCGACCTGATGGACAAGACCGAAATCATTGCCTCGGAGCCTCACGCCCTGCAAGTTCTAATCGATCCGTACCTTCCCGAGAAGCAAGACCAACCTACCGGGTCCATGAGCTTCATCGGCATGCTTCAAAAGCAACTGCAGCATGAAGCGGCCAACGGATGGGAGTTATCTTGCCTGCCTAGGCCCTGGAAGCTGCCCCTAGAGGAGATCGAAGCACAAGAGAAGCTGGACAATGCTACGAAGCATACCCTCCCCACCATCACAGTACCCGAGAAAATTGTCGCTGGATCAAGACCGCTATTCCCTGAAGTCTACTATTCAGTTTATAGCACTCAGGACGTCGAGTCTGTCCCGCCTGTCACGGATATTGCAGCGTCATTGGTCAGAGATGGCTTGGTTGATACGATCAACATTCTCGACTTCAACCGCAACGTTACTGCGCGGTATCTTATTGACCTGGACTGCTATTTCTCAGACTCAACTTTCGTCAAGCGTGCAACCCCCTTTGACAGACTTCGAGACGTCGAAACTGGCCGCTCAACGTGGAAGCCCGAGGATGTGGCTGTAGATGCCGTGTTTTCACAACTCTTCCAGCTTCCACTCCCGGAACACAAGCTTGTTTACTACCACTCAGTCCTCACCGAGGCCTGCAAGATTGCGCCTGCGGCAATTGCTCCCAGCTTGGGTCGAGCAATCCGGCACATGTACCGCAACTCTAGCCGAATCGACCTGGAGCTCTCTCAGAGGTTTGTTGACTGGTTCTCGCATCATTTGAGCAACTTCGGCTTCACCTGGAAGTGGACGGAGTGGGTAGATGACGTGTATCTGCCTGACCTTCACCCTCAGAAGGCATTCATCATTGGCGCTTTGGACAAGGAGATCCGGCTCAGTTTCGCTCAGCGTATCAAGGGAACACTGCCCGAGCCATACCAGCCCCTAATTGGGCCTGAAAAGGAAAAGGATGTTCCAGACTTCAAGTTCAGTGATGAAAGTAAGTGACGAGCAGCGATTGCGTTTAGTTTGGTAGACTGACAGATTCGATAGGTACACCTTTTTCCACAGAGGGTCGCGAGATCGCTGCTCTGCTGAGACGCAAAGCACCTGACGAAGAGTTCCAGCCGATTATCGAACGAATCCACTCACTTGCGATAGAGCGCAGTCTGGATCCTTTGGTGACGAGTACCGATGTCTTTGTCACAGCCGTGTGCTGGGTTGGGTCCAAGTCGCTCAGCCACGTGCTCGCGTGTATTGAGCGTACCAAGGATCGTCTGCTCGACGTTGGCGCGGCATCTGAGGCGGCTAAGTCCCAAATCATCACCGCAGTCATGTCGTACTGGGCGGCGCAGCCCGGTGTTGCAATCTCCATCGTCGAAAAGCTTTTGAACTACTCAATCCTTTTGCCCATTTCTGTCATTGAGTGGGCTCTCTCCGGAGGCAGCCACGTGCAAGGACAATCTTCGGGCGATTCTTTGGCGCAGCCTCACGTCTTTGAGCTGGTGTTTGGTACCGTGTCCAAGGTGACTGGCCGCGTCAGACAACTTCTGACCAAGGAGGCCGAGGCCGACGAGGATTTGAAGGAGAGAGACACTAAGGCGATGCGCGATCTCTTCAAAGCGATGGAAGATGCGCTGGTTAGCTGGGCTTCAGGCAGCAAGGACGAGATGATGGAGGAGATGGATGGAGCCGGTCAACGCGATGCCCTACTTCGCCGCTGGGGTGAGCGTTGGCTAAGGGTGTTCCGCCGAAGGTCCGCCATTGAGGAGGCCTTCATTTTAGAGGCGAGCAAGGAGCAAGTTGCTCTTGACAACGCCGTCTGAATCAGCCTGGCTGATACTGACATGGCGGGCGTTGTCCTTCGTTTTTCAGGCAGCGTGTCCTCAGTATGTATGATTACTAAAAAATGGTTCATGGGTTGGCAATGGACCAGGCGAAAGCCCTGGTGGATATGTGATCAAGGGTTCCGATCTCGACAAGGTAGCTCAAAACAGACACAGATTTTTTCCTAAGAAATTCAGTACACAATGGTGGTTTCAACAGCCGAATGAGTGACCCGAACAGCGGAAATTTCATCAACGTCATCATTCCACCTTATGTTTGATTGTGATGGCGGGCAAGCCCATCACCCAGGGTAGTGAGTCGGTCCCTTACGACTTGATACTGAGTACATCCAAATCTCAATCTCCAGTGCTCGGAAGTCAGCGGATGCGGGGCATTGTTCAGCCTGGTGGCCCTAGCGTTGGTCCCTTTTTTTTGCGCTGGGGACATGATTGGATATGCCTAGCTCGGCGGGGTGGAAGTCTCCTGCAAGGCTGACATCAAGCTTGGGGAAAGGAAAAAAAAAAATGGAAGTGCCCCGTCTATCAACCACCGAACTCCAACATACGAAAAACCAATCGAAACCACTCTCGTTGTCCTCGGACAATTACCTTTTCACGGGGAACACAGCAGTCAAACTGCGCGGTATTTACGAATATAAGGACCAATTTCGATCCTCACACGGAAGCTTCGAGCCAATCGCAACAAGAAATATTCTAGACCCTCGTCGCAATGGAGTCCTCAGTGGCCCAGGTGAAGGTGAACTTTACGACAACGCATGAGGATTTGCAGTTGGACGAGAGCAAGAGGCAGTTGATCGTGCCCGCAGGTATGCACGCGCGGCCAGATCTCCCAATCCAATAGTTGCCCCCAAACTCTAATCTTTTGCAACTCGTCTACAGACATTAAGCGATATGGCCTCTCAAGGATATTGAACTCCGAGTCCATGCTCAACACCTCCTCCCCCGTGCCCCTCGACTTCCTTGTCAACGGAACCTACCTACGGACCACGATCGAAGAATATCTCAAGGAGAACGGCCTCTCCTTCGAGACGACGCTCACTCTACAGTACGTCCGCAGTTTGCTGCCCCCCGTCTACGAGGCATCCTTTGAGCATGACGACTGGGTCGCCGCTGTCGATGTGCTCTCCGCCACCTCGGCCGCGGGCCGCTGGTCCGGCGACGCCCTCACTCACGGCCAAGATCGCATCCTCTCCGCCGGCTATGACGGTCTTGTCCGCATCTGGGACGGCTCCGGCCAGTGCCTCGCGACCTCCCCCTCGGCCCGCGCCGGCGGCCACGCCAAGCTCCTGACGGACGCCAAATTCCTTTCGTCAACGCAGATCGCCTCCGTCGGCCTGGACCAGAAGATTGTCGTCTGGAAGTACGCCGAGTCGGCCGACCGCTTCTCGGGCGAGCTCAAGCCCACGCTCGAGCTCCACGGCCACAAGAAGATGATTAACTCGCTCGCCGTCCACGGCGCCTCCAAGAAGATGCTCACCGCCTCCGCCGATGGCCGCGTCGGTCTCTGGCTGGCCTCGAAAAAGGGTAGCCCGGACGTCGACGCCGACGACATCCCCGCCACCCATGCCAGCAGCGTCAAGCGCGCCAAGCTCTCTAACTCGTCCGTCACCGTCCCGCAAAAGGGCGCCCTGGCCATGATCCAAGCCCACGCCGCCGACGCCTCCGTCACGGGCGCCGCCTTCCACCCCACCGACGCCACCGTCGCCTACTCCGTCTCGGCGGACCACACCCTCCGCACCCTCGACCTCACCACCGCCAGCGTCGTCTCCACCCTCACCACCCTCCACCCGCTCCTCTGCCTCGCGCCCATGCCACGCAACTCCTCCCTCGTGGCCGCCGGCTCCTCGGCCCGCCACGTCACCCTCCTCGACCCCCGCGCCTCGGCGTCCGCCACCTCGGTCCTCACCCTCCGCGGCCACGCCAACATGGTCTCGGCGCTCGCGCCCTCCCCGGACAACGACTACAGCCTGGCGTCGGCGTCGCACGACGGCACCGTCAAGATCTGGGACCTGCGGAGCGTGCGGCCCGCGACCAAGGACGAGGGCGGCGGCAGCGTCAGCGAGGCCGTCTACTCTATCAGCCGGGAGTGGCTCAAGGGCAAGAAGGCACCCGCCGGCGGCGAGGGCGTCAAGGTGTTTGGCCTCGCGTGGGATCAGACGTGGGGTCTGGTCAGCGGTGGCGAGGACAAGAAGGTGCAGATCAACAGGGGGAGAGATCTTGTTGCTTCTTCGTAAGAGGATGGTGGTGCTGGGATGCTGTGATGCTGAGAGTCTGAGTGGGCGGGATGTATGGGTGAAATGTATGAGAGAGAGATGGAAGGACGAGAAAGGTGGATACGGAGGAATTACGAATTGTGTGCCTGTATTTTCGTGTACATGTGGTTGGGAAAAGTTTGCTGGCATTGAAAAAGCTATAGACTACAAGAATAATACCCCCCCAAGATTTGACCAAGACTTGCAGGGTGTCATCCCTCCCAGATTCCGGTGATGATGGATAACGACAACTCTGGTTTGCAAGTTGTAGCCACGCCGTGGGATTGGAAAACCACATCATAGAGTCAAGTCCAGATGATGTCAGCAACCATCTTCTTTCTCTGTTTCTTACCCTCTCCTGAACGCCTCGCAAAGTGCAAGTATAGTTAAACCATAGCTGGCCAGCCATGATTGAATCAACTACACATCATCAGCCGTGAAAAAACACACCACTTCTCTCTCCTTCTTAGCCCGGTGTAAAGCCCCAAGGTACTTCTAAGTCTGCCACATGTGCTCACTAAGCCCGAGCATCTTATCCGCCATTTGCCTCTTGGCGGCGCTGGCGATCCCCCGCTCGGGGTTGGACAGCTGCTCGCTGAAGCACAGCTCCAGCAGCGTCCTCAGCTCTTCGTAGCTAAACGTGTCAGACGGGTCCGCGTGCTCGTCCTTATCCTTGTCCTCGCTGGCCTTTTCGACAATGGCGTCGGGCCCCTTGTCAAAGAGGGCAAAGTAGTTTGACGCGCGCGCGAGATCGACACCCTCCTCGACGTTCTTGAGGTTCTGCTGCAGGACCAAGATGTTGAGCTGCATGCGGCCGCATCCTTTTGCGTTCATGGGCGAGACAAAAGCGGCATTGGTGACGAGGTAGTCGTTGATTAGCAGGCCCAGACCGGTGCGAATGAAGGCCGTCTCCTTGGCGCGGAGGTACCGCGCAATAGTTTCATCGTAGAGGACGAGGTCCGAGTTGAGATTGAGGATTTGCGGATCCGGCTCCGTGACTTCTTGATCGAGAAGATAGGGGGCCGTGTCGGTAGATAGGGCGGTGCGGAGGGAGTAGATGATTTCGCATCGGATCTCCATGTGGAGGGTCAAGAGCGCGGTGCCGGCAAGTTCTTCAAATGACGAGACGATTCCATCGAAAGCCCTGATGTTTATGTTAGTAAGGCAAGGATGGTGTGGGTCTTCAAGAAGAGAAGAAAACTTACTGGACGGTCTCCTGTGTCATTGGAAGACACACAGGTCCATCTTCGTTTGTCGCCTTGTTGGGGTCGTTCATGAGCGTCCACCGCTTGCTCGAGCCTCGGTTCATGTTTGGGCGGGAAGAGTCGGATTCGTTGCGAGTAATGTGACGCAGACCTGAGATCTTGACTGCGAGCCACTTCATGCTGGTGTATAAAAGACAAAGAGACGAGATAGTGTCCTTGTCTTGGATGATGTCGGCCATCTCCATGCGCTTCTCGTTGGTCTGGACAATGAGCAGACCGACTTCCTTCTCAAGAAGCTCGCGCTCCAGTGTGTCCGATGTCCATAGTTGCTTTATAGTTTCTTGGACATCGCCCTCCTCCAGAGCCATCGCTGCGGACATGCGCAGCTTTGTGGGTTTGTCTGCTTGTGCCTGAGTTTTGCTCACAAGTGACTTATACCATCCAAAAGCACGGTCGTAGTATCTCATCATCTGGGTAATGATGAGAGTGCTTAAAGCCTGGTCGTGTGGGATGGTGCCCAGCATGCGGCAGAAAGCTGTGACAATGGCAAAGAAAGCTGTTGTGCCTTTGAACACGGGGCGTCTGGCAACTTGAGTCCATTCCTGGTCTTGCAAGAATGTATCAGCCTCGCCGAAGATGGTGTCACTCAGCTTTCCGAGAGTCTCATCCAGCTGAGGCTGGAAGACGTTGACCAGGAAGTTATCCAAGAAGGACGTCAGTGTGCTAGTGGCAAGATCTGAGCCTGGTGGTACGATCATCTTGAGACGCTGGAGGAAGACAAGAGTAGGAGGGAGGAGAAGGCTCATGTTGAAGACGCTGGGCTCAACCAAAGACTTGTAAGTGCCAGTTGTCTGCTTGTTCTCCCAACCTGTAGCGCCTCCTCCTCTCTTAGTACTACCCTCGAGCACTGGCCGCTTCTTGTCAGCTCCGGCCTTCCGAGAAGTGTCAGTCAAACCGGGAACAGCAGATCGGATAATGCTCTCAAGAGCCTCATATTCCGTCGTCATGTCTACAGCCTTGGGGTCGCCCTCAGAAAACTTGAATAGGTGCTCTCTAGCGGCATCCTTTTTACCATTGACATTGGTCCCAAGCTTTGGCGATGTACTGAACTGATACACGTCGGCGTCCGTGGTAACGTAGTTGTGCAGCAAAGAGCGAATCTCGTTTTGGTAGAGATTCCAAAGCTCCTTGAAGCTTCCCAGCAGGGCGCTGTTGTTTCCAGCACCTTCTCGGCGGATGAGGGCCTTGATCGCCTCGTGGAAGACGCGGTGACCCTCAGCAATAGCTTCAAACTTGCCAAAAAGCGTCCACAGGAGATCGTAAATGACGTCTGCTCTCATCTGGGTCTCTCGGCTGCCGTAAATGTGCAGTCCTTGAGAATTAGTTGAGCCGCCGCGCAATGAACTGGGATGCCGTTGGTCGACCTCGTTGAGTGTCTCATTCACAATCGTAAATAGCTCAACAGGCAGTCTCTGCTTGAGGGTGTCGACAGCCGTCTCTAATCTTCCCAACTTGTTAAGGGATTCTACGAGCAGAGACACATATGAGAAGGTGTCGGCCTCAGGGTTTTTAGCCGGGTCTTCAGTTGCCGATGCTTCGAAATCCATGGCGTCCAAGACTTGGTGGAAAGGAGCTATGGTGATTGATTCATAGTTGCCCTCCTTGAGCGCGCCTTGAGTCTTGGAGAGGTTCTGCCACCGCTCTTGACAATACGGCGACTTGAGGTATAGGTGCTCATGAAGCTCCTCAACCAAGATATCCATGAGTGCTGTGTCCTGGTTGGCAAGGTAGCCCCTTAGATCGCTCAGCGCGCCGATATCATCCAGCTCTGGTTTCCGCAGCTTGCGCAGGGCATTCTGCAAGACCTCAACTGCACTTAGGAAGCGCTTCTCGGAGATGCGGGCCTCTAGCTGATCCGGCACCAGACGCAGCTCCTCCAGTTCGTTAAGCGTGGTGAGCAGCTCATCGTAAGCCTGTGATGTGGCCGAGAGCTTCTTAAGGTCCGGGTCCGACGTGCAGAGGCTCACCTTGGACGTCAGCAGGGAGTCCTTGAGCGTGCGTACCCTCTTCTGCGAGGCCTGGATGCTGCCTTGGATCTTGTGGAACGTTCCGATCGAACTGTTGAAGCCTTGGTGGTGCTCGTGGACGATGCCCTTGAGGGAGTTTTGCAGGTAGTCGTGCGTCTGTCGGAACTGGTTGTAGTCGTGTGCGCGGCCTACGGAGCTGGTATCGAGAAGCTGGAGGGCGAGCTGGACGGGCACGCAGTCGGTCTGGCACATTGCCGGCCACTCCACCTTGACGCGCTCGAGGACCTGACCAATCTGTCTTTCCGCGTTAGTCTCCTGGATGCGCTCGCGGCTGCGGACTGGCGGAGGGCCGCCGCTTCGAAGTGTAGGTGGTGATCGAGGGTTCATCGCTGGCGGTGATCCTACGGCGTACCGGTCGCCGCCGCCTCCTCTGTCGCTACCTGAATATCCATTCCCGTATGGATCGTAATCCTCCTCTTGCCTGCCAAAATTACCATATCCGTTGCCGTTGCGGTAGCCGCCGCCGCCGCCGCCGCCGTACCGATTGGACATGGTGTGGGAGCAGGTATGTGTAGCGAATTAAGTCGGTAGGGAGGGGAATCGCATCGCGAATGAGGGGTTGTGAGGGAGTGAGGACCGGCAAGTATCGGTAGGAAGTGATGATCGGCTCGAAGAAGAGATGCGGCGCTTGTTCTCGAGTTAATCGTGTTGTTAGTCTGCTGGTAATCGGGCGAAGGGGGGTGAGGATTCCAAGTCGATGAAGTTGTGTTCGTGGTTGAAGTGGACGGAGCTGCGTTGTCAACCTGGAAGGTGCTGGCGTCCCGCTGCAGCTAGGGGTGTCGGATGGCTCTAGCCCAGCCGTCCGTATGCACGTTTCAGCGATGTTTGGATGTCACCCAGGGCTCTCAGTGGTTCGCTTCAGCGGCCGACATCAGTTCTCCACCAACCCCGGACAGGCTCTATGCCGATTGACCCGCCCTGCCGTCTCAACGCGCCGTTACGCCGCAGACGCTCCTTTCTCACCTCCCGATACTGAAGCTTGAGACCGGGGCTGCCAACCGAGTCCGTCACTCACACCGACTCCTGAATAATGGAATGCCTGCTGGGATAACACGACGTCATTCGAAATCCGGATCCAAGTGCTACGCTGCATCATCCGCCGTCATGTCGGAACAATTTCCCATCCAGCCTATCGGGCGTTTCTATGCCGCAAGCCAGCCGGTCAAACGACCAAAGGTATGCATTCCGTCTTTTATGTTGCAGTGGATATCTCATAACCATGAGCCCCATGTAACAATGCAATCGTTTTACATATTTTGGCTAACACGGATCAGGAGTTTGCTTGCTTCTCATATGACGACAATCATGATTTCCATCTAGGAGACTCTTCATTGAGATACTACTACCCACCTACCCTTGGCGCCGATTTATCCAAAGGCTATGATACCTTCATCAAGCACGACGATTCTAAGCCTGAACACCTTGGAGCTCTTCTTAAGACGATCAAAGCTCATGAAGAGGAGACGGGTCAGAAGATTGATGCCCAAATCGTGACGTGGCGTGGCATGATGACCAAGGCATGAAGTCTTTCCCGCTATTCCCTATCCCAGTCCCAATCTCAACTAACCAGAGTACAACAGATCATGGCATCTCCCTTTGAGGATCGCGATGGGTCAGTCTTGCGTCCACTATTGTAGATTTGCTCAAATGGTTAGGGGCTGACAGCGCAGCTAGCTTTGAGATGAACGCAACGCTGTACCAAGTGCGCATAAATAACTCCCATAACCCTACACAACCAAACGGTTGAGCTGACCTAGAAAAACTCAGGACTGCATGTACGGCAAGCACAGCAACGCCATAACGGATTAACCCCGGCTCTTCGGACTGACAAGTGAAATAGTTACATTGAAGAGAATCACGAGCACAAAGTGGCGTCTCAGAAGCAGCAAAACGCACAGCAGAGGCGGGGACCGATTCCGCCCGAAGTGATGCAGTTCTGGGGTATATCGGAGCTTCTCTTCTTTCCCTGCCAAGGAGATGAAGTATGCTGATAGGTGATCAGGATACAAGTTCGAGACGCTCGCCACGCTCCCCAATACCTGGGGCGAAACGCCCAGAGAATACATCGAGAACAGAGACGTCGAGGTGGTGAACAACAAGGCCCAATACTGCTCCGTAGTAAGGACGGGTATAGGACAAACCGTAATCTGCATAGGCGGCGAAGTCGACGCTGGTATGCTATCCCCTCTTCTTCCCCCCTCTCCATCTCAAAAGTCAACCCGCGAAGCTATCTTTCTACCCCCTTAAAGACCGATATTGACAACGTGGTACGCCACCACAAACAGTCTGGGACTCGAAACCCCAGAAACAAGGCGCTCCCACAAACTGGGTCGAGCTCAAGACCAGCCTCGCCATTCGCGACGACCGCGATGTCGACAACTTCCACCGCAAGCTCATGAAGTTCTGGATCCAGTCCTTCCTCCTCGGCGTCCCCAAAATCATTGTCGGCTTCCGCAACCGCCACGGCATCCTCACCGACGTCGAGGAGATTGAGACGGAAAAGATACCCGATACCGTCCAGCGCCGCGGGAAAGCGACGTGGAACGGCGACATGTGCGTCAACTTTGCCGCCGAGTTCCTCGTTTGTGAGTTTCCCTCCCACCTCTCCCTACTTGTTTCCCTCTCTTTTTCCTTCTTTCAGCGGTCCCTATAGCCCTCCTTTCTTTCTAGTCATTGGGCTTTTGTGGGCTGCTTGTCTACGTGAAGGAGCCGCCACTGACCGCAAACCGCAGGGCTTCGGCAGACAATCAACGACGACGGCGTCTGGAGGATACGCAGGCGAGCGGGCGAGCCCACCGTCGAAGTCTTCAAAGTCGACGAGGCCGGGCACGGGGAGCTCTTGACGGACGACTTCATCAACTGGAGAATAAAGCTCTCCATGAAAAACGTCCCACTGGTGGAGGAGCCATAGAATATACTAGCTATTGGCTAATTCAAATATCATTTCACGGTATTTTACACACAATCTCCACGCATCGGGGAACCTCAATTACATCGCAACGAATGCCCTTTCGTTGTTTTTAAAAAAAAAACGCAATCTTGACGCTACCTAGGAGGTATCTAACTACTACCAAACAAAGACCCAAAAAACGCCAAACCCAATGCGAAGCAGAAGAGCGAACTTGAAAACCCGAATCGGCCGTGTGTAGATGCTGACCCCGTCGTGAAAGTAACATCATCACCGGGAAAGAGTCTCGTCCCATCATCAGCGTCTTCCATCCGGAGAGGGGGGGAAAAAAATAAGCCTAACCCTCAGTGGTAACTCTTCAATCTGCCAAAAGCTGAAATGAAAACTCTCTCCCAATGCTTTTTGTGTGTGCTGTCCAACCCGGTATGCTGCGACGTGTTCATACACTTCTCATCATACAGCATGTTTCTCGTGAATAATAATGTTGTGTCAATCTTTACCCATATCCTTCAGATGGCCGTCGAAAAGGGTCAAAAGCTAGATCGCGGGCCATCTGATTCTCAAGCCCTCCGTCCATCGACCGTAGAGCACGTCCGATAGCTGCTTGCAGTGCTCCATGCCGGGCCGGGGAGGGCGACCGGGATACTTGGCTTCTACGGCCGTCTTCTCGTTGCGTTCCTTCTCGGCAGATTCTGGTGTCGCAATCGACCCGTTGCGCCTCCTATGGCTCTTCAGGTGCGGGTTGTTTGGTGCCATCATCAGCTTGGTCGGACTGCTTGATGGCGTGGGGGCGGCACTCCTAATGATGACCGTTCCTTGGGGAGTGCCATCTGATGGAATCTTGACCGATTGCTGGGGCATCAAAGCCTGGTTCAGCTTGGGATCCTGGGAAACAGCCGTCATCATGTTCTGCATGAGGTGGTAGGCACCCTCGGGATCAACAGAGTCCAGAAGTGCAAAGGCATCAGTGAGCTTTGCAAGCGCCTCCCGCCTCTGCATGCCTGACGTCTGCGCGTGAAGCTCGGCGAGCGTAGGGTCCAGGACCCTGTTAAAGAGTCGCCGACCAAGCAGCGCCTCTTTGCTATTAGTATCAATCGCGGCAGCCCGCATCGGTGCTTTGTTCTCATTGCCCATGGTACCCTCAGGCGATGTGTCCTCCCATGCGGTGACGGAGCCATCCGAGGGCACCCGGCGGAAGAGCCGCACGGAGGACCCAGAGTTGCCGTACGACATGTCTGGTTGTAAAGGCCGTCTGGCGACGGTCGAGCGAGGAGAGCCGTTTGTTTGGATCTGTGTGCCGGAACTATGGCGGCTTGAGGGCTGGCGACGCACAGTCGACCGGCGAACTGTCCCGGGAGCGGGTGACGAAGGTCCGAGCGGCGCGTCCTTGGGGTCAAGCCGGCGCATGGCCTCTTCTGCCGCAAAGTAGGAAGGCTTCCGTGCATGACCATTCGGCCGCTTTGGCGCCACTGACTTGACCGTGTCAAACACCCATTCATCCGTGTCGTCCCTAGAAGACATGGTATGCAGGGTCTCTTGGTAAAAGGTAGGGTGGGACCTCCGGTTCTGGTTCGCATCCCACATCTGCTTGCGCGCAATCAGCTCTTGGAGAGCCTCGACCTTGCCCGCTGATCTAATGAATCGGTGACGGAGGAGATCCTTGGCCGAAGGCCTGCGGTCGGAGTCTTTGACCAAGCACTGTGCAACAAAGTCCCTGAAGTCCTTGCTGAAGTTGTTCTCCAGTCGGGGAGGAGGGTTCTTTGGGATATGGAACAAAACCTTCATCGGATGAATGTGTGCCAGAGGAGGTTCGCCGTTGGCCATCTCCATGGCAGTGATTCCGAGGGACCAGATATCTGCCTTGAAACCATACCCATCCTGCTGAATGACTTCGGGGGCCATCCAAAAAGGAGTGCCGACAAAGGTGTTCCTTTGGGACTTGATGTTGGTCAATTGAGCGGCGACGCCGAAATCAGCCAGCTTGACTTTTCCTGCCTCGGACAAGAGAACATTGGCGGCCTTGATGTCTCTGTGAATTTTACCCTCGGCGTGGAGGTATTCGAGGCCACGAAGAAGCTCTCGACAGATGATGGCGATGTGGACCTCGGCAAAGTTGGCGGGTTTGAGCTGAGGAATGTTAGCTAGCCGGACTCCGGTAAACTTGTTGCGCCAAGTGACATACCAAGTCGAGACATGAACCACCACCAAGATACTCCATGACGATCCAGAGCTTGTGGCCGCGCAGGAAACTGCCCTTGTATTGCGTGACGAAGGAACTCGCGCATGTGCTCAGCACAGCAATTTCGCCTTGGATCTCTTGGATGTCATCTTCGCTTGACTCGAGGTCGATCTGCACACATCTTTGTTAGTCTGTTGTTTGTAGTGCACCAAGTCAAAGATGCGATGCGTCGACTTACATGTTTGATGGCGACCGTCTCGCCAGTGGCCTTTTCAATGGCCTTGTAAACGACACCGAAACTTCCACCTGAATATCATGTCAGCGCAATTGTTTCAAAAGGACGTAGACAATGGCAAGACTTACGACCGAGCTCCTCCAGAACCTGATAGTGTTCGGCGACACCCTCGTCGGCCATCGCGGCCGATTTGGACGTCATTGAATCGTTTTTGTTCGCTCAACAGAATTCCTTGCAGCAAAGATGGAGTGAGAGGGAGGGAGGAGCTGGCGACGGTCGACCCGGGAGTCCTAGACCGAGGGATTTCGAGGAGGGAGTTGCGCGAGCGAAGCGACAGGATGCTAGGAGAGAGTTTCGAGAGAAGAAATGGGTATCCAGGGAACGGGCTGTAGTGTGTCAGTCAGGACGACCTGGCTTGTATATTTAGGGCGGACCAAAAGCAATTGGATTTAATAAAGCAAGCGGATCGACAGTAGTCTGGTTGCTTGGGACAGCGGCGGTAGCGGGCGGGCTTGTTCGCTTGTTCGGTTGTCGAGCGGGAGTCCAGGGCCTGGTCAAAGTCGAAAGTGGTCTCTTTTTTTTTTCCCTCCCACTTTGGCCGTGGTACTGTGGTGCTGTGGTGCCGTGGTCGAGTGTCGAGTTGGGCGTTGGGCGGTGCTTCGTCGCAAAGCTCGGGCCCTTTGTTTACTTTCTTCCGTTTTGGTATAGCTGGGGGAGCTCCGGGGAACCGCAATTTGGCACCAGGGGGGGTACTTTGTAGTGTACTATGAACCGGGGCGAGTCAGCCGATCTTGCGACGAAAAAAGCAAGCGAAAAGAGATCGGTCGAGAGCCGCTGTTTCTGAAGCATCGTGAGAATCGCGAACAAGAAAGAAAGCGGAGGAGAAGATTAGGATGTGGGAGTGGTTGGTGTTTAGTGCTTCCTTGATATGCGTGAGAGATGGAGTGAGAGGAAGAGACGTACGGATACAACAGGCGAGAGCGAGAATGCAAAGTGTGCTACGTGATTAGAAAGAGGTGTGCTCACTGATAGCTGTCGTGTGAGTGCTTGCGTCGTTTGCATGCCAGAGAGATGAAGGATTGCGAGCGTGACCTTTGATCTGACCTTGATCCGGCTTGCAGACTTTCTTGTCGCCCGTCAGTCTGTCTTGCCGTCCAAGTTTCCTGCGACCTTATTCGACGCGCCAAACGTTAGCTGCGTTGCCTTGCAGATTTCTGGTTGCCAACGGGAAGTGAGTGGGCGGCAGACAATGTGTTTGGTGTGCGATGGTGCTAAGCTAAGGTATGCAGGGCCTCCCCATGAGACGGCGCTGCGTTGTTCATCGCACTAAAAACGACGTGCCTACGACTGCCCCTGCTTTTCTACAGAGAACATCCTCACTCACGCCTCATTCTTGCCTCTTTTTTTTCCCCCTATGTTGTCAGTCATCCCAGGTTCGTCTTCCAGGTCCTTCCAGGTTTGCTACTAGGAGACAAGCCTTTTTTACCGACTCTGTTAAAAGACTGGCCGGGGTTGAATTACTTTCTCCCTTACCGAAGCTGGCAGAGACAAGGTGCAGGGCAGGCTTATACGGATGAGACTCATACGGATAGTCGTATCTCGGCGAGTGATACGTACTGCAAGGGAGAATCTACCTTACTCCAGTCTCCACGCATCTGTGTATCTGCGACGTAATACTCCGTAGACAGCTGGGCGATAACACGACTTGGATCAGGCAAGCTGAAGAGAAGGTTAATAGTGGGAAAGATGACGGGGTATTTGCCCACCTCAAGCCTCAAGGTACCGAACCTAGGTACTCTGTAAGGTGCGAAATACTTGGTTAGTGGTCCTTGCTTTCGGCATCGCAGGCGGTGACCGAAAGATTTCCAAGACTTCTCCAAGGTCCAGGGGCCTCAGATATGCCATGCCAGGCTTAGCGCCGCGCCAAGGAGGCACTGAGAGGGTCCCACTAGTCGCCGGTGGAGATGCGCCAGCCGCACAGGAGGTCGCAACCCGTTACAAGCTTGCCCTGACTTACGGCGCGCAAGCCTAGGCCCTGATTTACAGGTACACGCTGCGTGCAGTTGCCAGTGTTTGGCCTCCCCTCTGGAGACTCCCGACGTCTCCCCGCCAACGAGCCCCTCTGTTTGTTGGTTGCCCCGGGTCCGCACCCCCGGCTTCGCTGACATTCACCGCATCCCCTTCTTGGAAGTCGTGTCCGACAGATCGACTTTCCACCCGACTTGTACTTTGTTCCGCCAACATTGACCATCTCCCACACCACACCCGACGTCAACTCCCATGCCCACCTCGCGCATTTACCAACTACCTTTACCCACTCAAACAAGGTCATTGTCGCCGTGCACGCGAGCCTCACCTGCATTCCTCAACAACAAACTCGCAGAGGCTTGCAAAAAAATTCCCACGAGCCTTGACTCCTCTCTCTCGCTTGCTTCTCGCTTCGCTGCGGGAGCTCGATCTTGTCATCATTCCTTGCCGCCAGCCTTTGCGCGCCCACGCCTTTGCATGGCCGTCACGATATCTCATTGCAGCTTACACAATCGCGTTGATTCAACTTGTCACTGCGTGAGCCGAGTGCCAGGCTCCGCGAATAACCACTGAGGCACTCGATATCAACACGCAAATAATCGCATTCCTACCAGCAGCCCTCCCGATTGCAGGTGCAATAGTCAAGTCTTCAACATGGTGCCTGCACCACAATCTCTACCGACACGGTTTCCGTGCTGGTGCAGAGCAGTCTACTCTTGGGGCGGAGAGGTTCGTTGCAGCTGTTCGAGCCTCATTGAGAGGACTGGCTTTCAAAAGTACTGACTTGAGATTCCCGCAGTCCAAACGAGATCTCGGCTTCATCGAGGGTGATTTGATCGAATGTCTCAACGCTGGAGATGGTTCATGGTGGACGGGTAGACTATGGCGCGACAGAAGGACTGTGGGAGTGTTTCCGTCCAATTTCGTTGAGGTCCTCCCCGCCGACTTTAGACCAACGACGAGGTCAGCCAGCCCTCTTCCAGCAGAAAGCACACCGAGCCCAAGCACACCTCAAAAGTCAAGGACCTTCCGTAAGCCTTTCGAAGCCTATTCCAAAGCACCGCACTACACCGCTGCGAAACAGCCCGAGGTGTACCGGACGAACCCAAACCCGAGGCCTAGAGGGCACTCTGGAGAGTCGATTCACAGTGCAATGGCGGAGCAAACCAGAAGAGATCGGTCACCGGCCCCGGAAGCTTTCCTTTCGAGAGAGAACTCTTTCAATGAAGCTGCCTCGACTAGAATGCGAGCATACACTTCGCCAGCCCCAACCGGTTACGTATCGCGGGGAAACTCGTTCAACGATGGCGCGCAACAGCAGTACATGCCGAGAGGAAGGACGCCTGTGCCAAGAGGAAGAACACCCGTTCCAAGGGAGAGAACACCAGTACCCCCAAGAGAAAGGACACCCGTCCCCGACTATGGCCACGGCCACGGCCACGGATCAAGACAAAACTCTTACAACACGGAAAGGGGCCCGTCTCCCATACCGCCATCCCATAACTTCAGCTCAAGAGGCCCATCGCCGGCTCCTTCAGTCAGCTATAAGCCCTACCGTCCTCCCACTCGAGAAAAGGTGGATTCTCCTCCACCCCCGGCCCCACCTCCGCACCGACATGTAGCGGCTTCACGGCACAAGCAAAGCATATCCTACGACAGCAGGCACGATAGCTCTCGCCAGGACTCGCATGGCTCATTCGACAACCGCTTTCATGCCAGTCGACATGGGTCAGGTAACTCCTTTGACAAACGATTCGATGTTGTGCGTCAGGACTCAAGCGCCTCATATGATAATCGCCATCCTCCTTTGGATAGGCACGGCTCCCATCTCTCTTACCAAGCTCATCGGCCATCACCGATACAGACTCAGCGGCATCACTCCCCAGCTCCACCTTCGCCTTCGGCAAGCCACATGACTCCGTCGCCTTTGCGGGAGGCAATGGATGGCGTGATCGAGCAGCTGGACGCACTGGGGATGCCTCGAGATCCGACACCAGAGCCGCCACTGGATCCGTGGTCGCCCGAGTCGTTTGACATGGTGAATGATCGCGCTAGGAGAAAGAACACTTACCAAAGACCACAGACATCCATGGGTATAGCACAACAGGACGAAGGGTACGAAACCTGGAGCGGCGGATCGTCACGAGACCAATCCTATCACAACGGACATCGGGAGGATAAAGAGCAGCTACCTCAACTGAGTAACTACGTCGAACGTATGGAAAGTCGTCTCAAAAAAATGCATCAACATAGCGCAAGTATGGCTGACCTTGAGGATGAGGCACCGAAGCCACCCCCCAAAGGCCAGTTATACGAGAGACCCAAGTCTTCGATGGGTGGACCGGAGGAGAGGAAGCTTCGCGGACGCAAGTCGGCTTACGACATTGGCCGCAACGTCCTGAACAGGACGTTTACGACGAAGACCAACTCTACCAGCGCCTCCTCAGGCAATCAGAGCTCGACGACGCAAAGCAGCGACAGGAGTTTGATGAGTGGGTCGTCAGCCGGCGCTATTAGCGCAACGAGCGCCGGCAGCTTCGCTCGCAAAACCCAGAAGCGGGCTCAGAGTGCCCTGGGCATGCGTGACGCTGATATCGAGCGTCCAGAAACACCATTCACCGGTGTTACATATCACAGTAGTCACGCCTCGGAAGCATCTCGGCCAAAGTCGCAAGCTGGCTTTCATGACGATGCTGGCCTTGGAGGCCTTGTCACCCCGAAACCCCCAAAAAGGAACATCTTCAAGAAGCTCCTCGACACAGCCAAGACTGGGGTGGCATCCGGTCGCAGTAGCATTGCTATGGGTGCCGACTCGCCCAGATCGTCACCTTTTGCTCGCTCCATGCCAAATGTTGCCGCTCAAGCTGGTGCTAGCGTCTCTAACTTGACCAACTTGGGTAGCACTGGCTTCGGTAGGGAAGCAGCCAGGGAAATGGGGCTTGCGAACGGGGTGGACTGGGTTCAAGTTCGCAGAGACGTCAATCGATCCAACTCTCTGAGTAAGAACGAGAGGAACGAGCGGAAAGACCGTTGCCAAATGCTCGACTACCCTGCGTTGAACCCAGTCGATGAATTGTACGAAGGCATGGAGGGTGACGAAGGTGCCGACGGTCTGCCTGTGGAGGACCCTATCGACTATCAATCAATCAATCTTACCCAGGTGGACAAGAACTCGAGGTTCGTAGCCAGCTTCCCACCGACAACGACAGCGCAGAGCTTGGCAACAACCTACGTATGTCGCCCATACCGCAGCGATGTCCAGAGACTGCGGGCAATCTTCACTTGGGTGTCCGAGAAGCTCGTCTGGGAAGAGGACTTTGAAGGCGAAGTCGACACCCGAAGAGTGCTGCAGTCAAAGCGAGCGAGTGCTGAAGAGTATGCAGTCATTGTATATGAAATGTGCTCTGCCGTTGGTATCCAATGTGAGGTCATCCGCGGGTACCTCAAAACGCCCGGCGAGATCCCAGAACATAATATCATGCCTCGGGCAAATCACTGGTGGAATGCGGTTCTGGTCGACAACGACTGGCGAATGATTGACTGCTGCATGGCCAGCCCTTCGTACCCCAGGCGGCATCTCTACTCGAGTGCTAGCAACAGCGCCGCAGACTTTTGGTGGTTCCTCACGCGGCCAACAGAGCTCTGCTGGACACATATCCCTGAACACCACACTCAACAACACATGTGCCCGCCACAGGCCCATGAAGTTCTTCTCAACTTGCCTTGCGCCTGCCCTCCCTTCTTCAAGAATACGCTCGAGATGGTCGACTATAACACGGCGGCAACTCGTATCGAGGATCTGGAGATGGTACATGTCAAGTTCAATGCTCCACCTGATGTCGAAATCGCTGCTGAAGTCGAAGTCCGCGGCTACACCAGAGATGTCGACGGCGACGTATTCGAGAGCGGCGAAGTTGTGAAAAAGAGGGCGTTGGCTCAAGCGGAGTGGTTCAACGGCACCAAACGATACACCGTCAAGGCTTTGCTGCCTGGTGATGAGGGTCAGGGAGTCTTGAAAATCTATGCCGGCAAGCGTGGCCTGATGCATAGCATCAAAGACATTCCCCATCCAGTGGCATTTGCGCTACCCATCATTCATACGGGTGAGAACCCTCCGTATGAGTTTGTGACGCGGCACCCGACGCCTCATGCGCAGCGCCACGACATCTACGTTGTTCAGCCTCAATGTCAACGCCTGGCTCTGAACAACACTTTTGTTTTTGCAATCCGGCAGCATCCCAGCTCTGCGGGCGCAGTCGGCTCGGTGATGACACCGTCATCCAATCCTGGGGGCGCAAGTCCAATCCCCTTTATAAGACCGAGCTCCGCCATGAGTATGACCGCCTCCAGCGCCAGCGGCTCGAATCTCAGTTCAGCAGCTGCCGGTGGGAAGAAGCCAGCGAAGTTGGCGATTCAGACTCCAGGCGGCAAAATCCTTCGTCTTATGAGGAAAGAGGAGCGCAGAGGAGTTAGTGTCGGCAGTAGAGGAGCTGAAGAGGATCTCAGTGATGGTGGTACGTGGGAGACCATTATCAAGTGTTCCGAGAAGGGGGTGTGGAGGGGGCTGGTATTGGCAGACCGCACCGCTCGCTGGTGCGTCTTTGCCGAGTGGGTATGTGTTGGATGAGCATTCTGCGATTTACTGCGTCGTTTGTCGTTTGTTTGATTTGAAACACGCGAGGGCAATGTCGAAAAAAAGGGACTTGAGCGGTTACGACTGGGTGGGTTCGGGGTATGCATATCTCGGCGTTTTCTTGTCTTCTTCTTTTTGCGTGTATTTGGGAAACTGGGTATCGATCGGTGGGAGGTCTTCGTCACGGCTGTGGGAATTTTTTTCTAATGTACGATACATAATGGGAATCATGCATGTCCAGGCTAGGATGGTTCTGTAACATAAAAGGTTTACGCGAAAATGCAGTCAATGAAGTAAATGATGTTCAAATTAGTTGTGCCAGTTCGTAGTGTCTTGACCGTGTAAGTGAGGTGCGGAGTGAACTCGGTGAGGTAGGTGCTATAACATGTAAGGTACTGTGTTTGCCTGGTTTCTTGGTAGGTAGTCCGCACTGTCTCTTATCGATAACCACCTCACTGCGTGCGGTGCCTGGACGACCTCACCCTCCAAATGTAAACAGAGGGGCGACCTGCGCATACAGACAGCAAGACCCATACCTACCAACTCAATATTAAACCACCCCGTTTTTGGGAACATTCAAACATCCAACATCCTTGTATTTTACGCGCTGAGATTCTTGAGTGGTAAAGCCAGTAAGACGCTTACCATTCCGCATCGACAACCACACGTTTTACAACTGAAAATTTGGTAGGTATTAGAAAAGAAGAACGAAGAACGAATATCAGCGACTCTTCATCGCCAGTACAGCACGCTTTTTTTCCAAAGAAAGAGGAAGAAGGCGGCGGCGAAGAAGGTGAAGAAGCAGAAGCAGAGTACGAGAAAAGCAGGCGAGAGGACAAAAGATGGCAGACAGGACTTCGAGAGCTGTACCACCACCGCCCGGCGCCCCGCGACGAGCAGTCCGGCGGAATCTGTTCCAGGGACTCACGAGGCGGGCGACGGGGGCTACGACGACGGGAACTACAGGGCAGCCCATGGCCTCTGCTACGGTCGGCGCGGCATCGGTATCTTCCACTGCTGCTGCTGCTGCGACGATGGGAGCAGCAGGGGTAGGAGGACCAGGCGGCAGTGGTTCGACCGCTGCTACTCACAGTAACGGTAACGGCCATGTCGGCGGTGGCGAGACGCTCCGCCTCGACGTCGACGTTCTCTCCGACGGCGGGCCGCCGTTCGCCATGGGCCCCGCGGAGATTGTGGTGCGCGACGAGCACGGCGAGATTGAGCTCGCGGACCTGCCTACGCTGGTGTTTGACGAGGCTGATGAGGCTGCTACGATGGATGATCGGGAGGAGAGCAAGAGTAAGTCCCTTTTTCTTGTTCTTTGCTTCGTTCCTCATGGTTCTTGTTTATCTTCATGTTTCCTTTTCCTTTTTCTGGGTTCATTGAAAAGGGGTATTGATTTTTACGTGTAATGCTAACTATGCTTTTATAGAAGAGCGGCAACGGCTCGCAGAGGCGGTGAAGCAGCATCAAGTCAACCATACCGCCGTCCGTGAACAGCCCGAAGGTTAGTTCCCCCTTACGCGACATTTCTGTGTCCAACTCTTCATTGGAGGAAAAAGGGGGTTTCTAATCAGCTCCTGTGTGAAATAGAGCTGCTCGAAGCCGTCAAAGCCAGTTTACGAGCCAAAGTCTCGGCTCTCGCCGACGATAATTGGATGTACGAGGCCGAGCCGGAGCTGCCCCGTGGCTTCTGAACACGATGTCTAGCGTTTTCCATCTGGATATCCTGGTTGTTACCTCGACGACACATATTTTCAACGTCTGGTTCATTACGGGCGTGCTCTTATGCACGGTGGGCATCTACGCCGAATCGACGGAAAACATCTTCGTCTAATCCAAGCCTTCAGCCGCGGGTGCCTCCACCCGTCTCGTCGTGGGACGTCTCTGTTGAGGGGCGCCACCACCGGCACCACCAAACAGGCTGCCCATCATGTCCATGAGCGGATTGCTCTGCCTCGGGCGCGAGATGCCAAAGTACATTTCGGCAATGATCTCGAGCGCCTCGCTCCACGCGCTGACCTCGGAAATGTTGGACGAGTACTTTGCCAGGAGCTGCTTGTAGGCGTCCGGGGCGCCGCGCTGGATCGCCAGCAGGAGCAGGCCGAGGAAGTTGAGGAGGGGCAGGCCGGGGAAGATGCGCAGGTCGGCGCTATTGCTGCTGACGTCCTGGACGCCGAGGCCCTTGTTGTCGTCGCTGAGGGAGGAGGCGAAGAGGCGGTAGCAGGTGTTTGCGGCGCGGACGTTGCCGACGAGGAGGTAGGGGAAGATGGCTCGGGCGGCGTAGAGGGGCGCCGTGTGCGAGTCGTCCTCCTTGTACCAGACATATTCCATCTTTGCGAGCACCTCGGCCGAGTCCTTTGTTCCTAGCACCAGGTGTCGTTCCGCCTCGTAGGCGTCGTGTTCTTCGGCGTAGAGTGTTCCGGCGACGTGGTGGAGGTCGGTGTCGCCGGCGGGGTACTCGCCGAACTTTGACGACCATCTGTAGCCCCGTTGTCAGAAACAACTGATCGTTTTCCCCTCTCCTCTGTGTACTGCGCACACAAGGAGCAAAGACTTGTTACTCACGCAATGATCTCCCCGATAAACTTCTTCCTCGTGGGCTCCTGGGCCGCAAACAGGCGCAGGAGGGTGAGCAGCTTGCCCTTGTTGGCGGCGTCGGGCTTGAGCTCGGCCTGCTTGAAGACGTCAACGAGCATGACGGCCAGATCGCCGCCGCTGCCGCCTTGTTCGGCCTTCAGCAGGGACTGCGCAACATTGTAGAGGATATCGATGGCGGCGGACCAGTTCGCGGCCTTGATGTAGCGAGCGGCGACGACGCGGGTCTGCTGTTGGGCCTCGTAGAACTGGCCTTCGCCGATGCGGGCCTGGAGCCGCGTGATGATCTTTTCAATCTTGTCTCCTTTGGCTGCCATTTTGGAGGGGGGTTTTGTTGGGAATAAGCCGTTCAAGTGTCGACTTTCGGAAGGGGGTGGGGGCGGTCGGAAAGTGAAGTATGGTGGGTGAGGTGTGACGATGTCGTTTTGTAGCTTGCGCGGTGGCTTTGGGAGTTGAGATGGTGGGGCTTGATGGCAGGTCAGGTACCTCTTCCACCTAAGGTAGGCTGTGGAGAGAGCCCCTCGTTTGGAGGGAGCTTCTGTTCAGTTCTGCCTTTCTTTCGGATAAAGTACGGGTAATCAGAGCTCTCGAGCCGGGGTGTGAAGTCCCTGGTCGAAGCACCGACCACTACTTTATTTATCCGTAGTTTACAAGGTCGTAATCATCTAATTCATCTTCATCAATCTCTCACTTACACTGAGAGAAGGGCGGGCTCTCCTAGTCAACCTCACAACGATAGGAGTGTGACGTAGCAACTTTTATGTTTCTATGTTCTCTACTATGATCATTTGGAAGTCCTAAGCCTCCTCCTCAACTCTTTCTTCAACGCAGTGAACTCCGACTTTGTACGGAATACGGCATCCCGGTTCTCGACCGCCCGCCGCAAAAGATATGACGTGCAATCACCAAGAGAGCCCCAGCTTAAGCACTTATATACCTCTATAGGGGCATCGCTTCCTGCGCTCTTTGCATCGGTGCTCTGGTCTGCGAGCTGGAGCAGACTGAAGCTGACTTCATCGGCCATGCCCAGAAGCTGCCCGTACTGAATCTTGACCAAGGCCTTCCCTTCCTTGGCGCGAGTTTGCTGCAGCTCGTTGGCTTTTAGGACGCTGTTCTTATTGTGTGTTGCAAGGAACAGCTCGATGCTCGGGAATGACTTCCCACCCGGCACACCATAATCTCTATATCCTTGCGACAAGAGCTCCCGTGCAATAGAGTCATAAGAGTCGTCTGTTGCTTGCTTGGTATCGTTGATCATGTGCCTTGGCTCCGAGCTGATATACGCCCCCCGCACCAGTTTGATACCGAGGACGAAGTCGTCATTGTGAGCTAGCGCCACGTGCTGGGCCAGGGTGTCCGGTGTGCTCTTCAGGTAGGCTTGGTAGGTGTTGAAGACGACGGCACCTCTTCCCTTCGTGTTGAAGCGGCGCATGAGGTCTATGGCTACTGCGTCGATTCCCGGCTGTACTGAGATCTGTTCGGCGTCCATGAAGATGCGTGCTCCCCGCTCCACTGCGCGAGAGCACACGTCTGCGAGAGCTGACTCCATTTGCGCTGGGAGCGGCTTTCTTGAAGTGAGCGCCTCCGAAACGGCGGCACCGGCACCAGTCAGTCTGGGGACTAAGTTAGCAAATCACCAGAATGGATGTTGATGTGTTCGGGGGCGCCAACTTGAGGGCCAAGATGTCTCCTTCGCTAAGCATGTCGGCCGTTTCCAAGACACCCTCACGCCAGGCCTCGATCCCAGCGTCTGATCCGATTTCTGAAGCGGAATCCATCTCCTTCAATCCCCGGCCGCTTTCTTCTTCTGTCGTATTATCGACCACAATCTCGCGAGCATAGGTGAGGATTGCTCCTCGAAACCCCATCCGCTTGATCTCCGCAATCGTCGACGTCACCTCGTGTCGGTTCTCGCCGGCGCAGAAGTGGTTGTACATGGTCTTTTTGAGTATAGCGTGCAATAGGGGGTTCCTCTGCACGTCAAAGACCCAAGTTCGGTGCGAGCCGTTTAAGAATTTCAAAATAGTCAGAGACGGCCCCAGCAAGATCCGGTGGGAAGAAATGGCCGCCACCAGTAGAGACCGCAAGAGAATCTTCAGGGGTAGTTTGGAGTGTGGTGGTAATGTTTCTGGGTTTCTTGGAACGGTGGATGCGCATCGTGACTGGAAACGTGTAAGAGACGCATTGTTGGCATGATGAACAGCTGGAGGCCGCCGACTCAGAAGAGCTGCGAGCCGCTGGCTGTAAGGTTTCGAAAGAGACATTGTTCGCTACTGGGGTCGCATCTGACGAACTTTGGTTCACCCGAAACTATATGATAGAAATTGTAGGATGAGCCTATTTGAATGTCTGCGTTATCCTACACGTAGATGCGGCAACCCCTCATGATACCGTCGGACGGACATGTGCTCCGTAGCCGATTGCGGGCACTGTGCCACCGGCAACGCGACATATTCCAATCGCTACCCAGTGCAGCCTTCGGCAAGCGTAACGCGCTGTGGGATAATATCTCTACTGAGAAAAAATCAGAAGAGATAACTAGCTTCGAGGGATTGATTTGCAACGGTGAAGGCCAGTTCCTGTTCGAACAGTCTATTTAGAGTGCGGAATGAGAATACAGTCAAAGTCTCAAAATGGCAGCGGACTTTTACAAGAGTCTGAAGGCAGTGAATAATGCCTCGAGCCATTGCTAAAAATCACATGGGACTTATTAATACCTCATTTCATGAGATTTGATCTACTATATATCTATCACAAGGATCGTTTCTATATCGTGGAATTTCAACTGAGAGCCCCTCTTACGAGCTCAGCTCTGCAAGTGAATGTTAGCCAATACCAAAACGTGTAGAAGAATGGCAGTAACGGAATGATGAACTTTTCAAGAGCACTTACGTCGCAAAAGTCCCAGCAGAAACGGGCATCGCCCTCAACAACGCCGGAACAAGTCCTCGAAACAATCCCCGAAACCGACCTTCTCTCCAAGTCTGACGGAAAGCGTCTCTCATGGTCAAGTACTTTTGGTCTACCCCAAACCCGTCGCTTTGCATCTTACTCTTGATCACATCAAGCGGATGACTCCCAAGCCACAGCGCCTCGCCCGCAAGACCTCCACAGACGGCAATCTTCCAGCTGGCCAGGTCTCTTCTATCCTTGACGCCTTCCCACGCCATCGCCATACCGAGAAACCCCTCATACGCGGCGAACCAGATTCCGTACCCGTGGAACTCTCTGAACAGAGTGACGACCTGCCCGCGGTACAGGCCCTTGATGCCGGAATGCTGCGTGATCTTGCGCACGCAGTCCCAGGGGCCAGAGTATAGACGGGCTGCGCCGCTGGGTTGTGTTTGGAGCCTGATTCGGACGTGTTCGATAGGTCCGGAGATGATGCTGTTGGTCAGGCCGGCGGCTCCTCCCACGAGATAGAAATCAGTCAAGGAGAGCGATTTGCAATTTGTTTTCGCATCGTCTGGGTATATCCCGCGATACTCTTCGAGTCGGCGGCGGAAGAATTGAAAAGCGCCGAATTGTATGCTGACCTATGCAAAGTTTGATATGTTCAGACTAGTGTGTGCTTCTTGAATGTGGTTATACCACTTACGCAAGCACCGACACCTAGCAACGGAGCAAGAGTACCCTAAATGCCGAATATCAACTGATGATTACCTTGACGGGAAACTTTCAAGGCTGACCTTGTAAAAAGCCAAAGGCCCTTCTTTAGCCCAGATGCTGCGGGCTAGGCCCAAGGCATTTCCTCCTCCGCCTTGGGTTTGAAGGCGCACTTTTACGAGGTCTAAGAGTCTTTGGTAAGTGGTGGAACTTATCTCACGGCCTCATGGCGCTTCAAGAGGCTTTAATGACGGGCAGAAGTGCAGAGGGCTCGGTTTACCGAAAGGTTGACCTATGTAAGATAGTGTAAGCCAGGTCCATTCGCACAAGATGCAAGACTCATAACACTGAGTTACATACCTATCAAAACCTGCGCTACACCTCCTGCGGCTCCCGAAGTTATGTCCTTGACTGAATCCAAGGCCGCAGTCCCCATGACGGCGATTGGAGATCCGGGTGTTGAAACAACAGAAGGGGCTGGACAACCAAAACTCGGTGGCTTCGATAAGTCAAGCAAGACTGGTACGCACGGCGCAAGCAAATTGTAAGGCAATATTAGTTAAAGATTTTTGGACATAAACTTCCCCCACTGGTGACATGCATTCAGATAAGAAGAAGCGGTGGGTGCCGTTCCGGCCAACGGACTGGTTACCGACACTATCTCTTGGTCAAATTGCCGACCTGACGGCAATGTGCCACAAGCGTCGGCAACGGCATGACGATGCCGGAGCTCTGCATTGCGACTCCCAAGACGTATAAATGTAACCTTCATAGTCGATTTCCATATTTCTCTCATTCGAACGTTGAATTATACCTTCAATCAGTTTCAAAGCTACTGGCATATCAAAATGTCCCTCTCTTCAGTACGAGGTCTTACGATCCCTTGTCAAAAAGCAGGCCGGCTCACAGCGCCATCCTCTCGCTTCGGAGTCAACTCTTGGCCACTCGAAAGAAGCATCAGGGGGTTCGGCACCTTCAAGGCACCTCCAGTCCGCAACGAGCCCAATGTAAGTATTTCAGTAGCACGCAACCCATGATAGATTGAATTGTCAACTAATATAACGGCCCAAAGCCGTCATATAGCAAGGGTTCAGTTGAGCGTCAGAAGCTTCAAGATGCGATTTCACGACTGAAGAGCAGCCTTCCCGTGCGAGTCCCGTCCTTGGCACCTGAAATCGTAAGTGGAATTCCTTGCCCATAAATCACAGCTTTTAACTCCTAGACTCACACGCTCTCTCTCTCTCTCTCTCACTCCCAAAGACAAATGCAAAGTCCGTTTTAGCCAAGCAATATCTGCCAAGCGAACACTCCGTCACTTTGGCCGAATACGCCCAGACGACCCCCGAGCAGGTGTCGATGGCCATTGACAGGGCGCTGGAAGCCAAGCCCGCCTGGGAGAACACGTCTTTCAAGGACAGGGCTGCCGTCTTTCTCAGGGCGGCGGAGCTTATCGCGGGAAAGTATCGCTACGACATCATGGCTGCGACGATGCTCGGGCAGGGGAAAAATATTTGGCAGGCGGAGATTGACTCGGCGGCTGAGAGCTGTGATTTCTTACGGTACGTTCTGAGAACCACATTCGATGCCGCGTGGTCTAAGAAAGCTTCGCTGACTGTTGATGGGACATGGTAGATTCAATGTTCATTACGCAGCTCAGCTTTATAACCAGCAGAACGCATTGACCGATGCTGGAATCATGAAGTAAGTTTCTCCTTCTTGTTGTTCAAAGCCTCGAAGGTGAGGAAAAGTTTGATATGTCGTTACACGAACTAACGACATCTACCAGTCGAACGGAATACCGACCGCTAGAGGGCTTCGTCTACGCCATCAGCCCCTTCAACTTCACCGCCATCGGCGCCAACCTAACCGTCGCCCCCGCCATCATGGGCAACGTCGTCCTCTGGAAGCCCTCCGACTACGCGATCTACTCGAGCTACCTCCTCCAAAAAGTCTTTGAAGAGGCCGGTCTGCCCGCCGGTGTGATCCAGTTCCTCCCCGGCGAGCCCGAGGCAATCACCTCGGCCGTCCTCAACCATTCCAAGTTTGCAGCGCTCCACTTCACCGGATCCACGGACGTCTTCCGCCAGCTGTACGGCAAGATCGGCGACGGCGTCGCCTCGGGCAGGTATGAGAGCTACCCGCGCTTGATCGGTGAGACGGGCGGCAAGAACTTCCACCTGGTGCACGGCAGCGCCGACATACGGAATGCGGTGGTGAATACCGTTCGGGGGGCCTTTGAGTATCAGGGACAAAAGTGCTCTGCGACGTCGCGTCTCTACGTCGCCGAGTCCATCTGGCCAGAGTTCAAGGAGATGCTCTTGCGGGAAACAAAGGTCCTCAAGGTCGGCTCCCCGGAGCAGGTCGACAACTTCATCGGACCCGTCATCCACGAGCGCTCGTGGAGAAAACTCCGAGACGTCATTGAGGACGCCAAAAAGGATCCCGCAATCGAGTTGCTGGCCGGAGGTCACACGGACAATAGCCGGGGCTGGTTCGTCTCGCCCACCATCTTCAAGACCAACGACGCCCAGCACAAGCTTATGAAGAACGAGCTCTTTGGCCCCATTCTCACCGTCCACGTCTACCCCGACGCAAAGTACGAGGAGATGCTCCCCGTCATCGACTCCACGACGCAGTACGGCTTGACGGGCGCCGTCTTCGCCCGCGACCGGAGCGCCATCGAGGCCGCGGAAAGGGGGCTACGCCACGCGGCTGGGAACTTCTACGTCAACAGCAAGAGCAGCGGCGCCGTTGTTGGGCACCAGCCGTTTGGGGGCGGTCGTGCGAGCGGTACCAATGACAAGGCCACCAGCGTCAATCTTTTGACGCGCTTTACCAGCATGAGGAGTATGAAGGAGGACCTTGTCGGCGCAGACGCTGTGTTGTATCCTTCGAATGAGGCTTGATTTCGGCTTTTTCTGGCGTCTGTAACATTAGCCGGTAGGTTCTCGCTAGATCTTCTCTCGACGGCTTTTGGAGTTGTCGTTGTACCTCACTTAGATGTCAAATGTAAAATCCAACATGTCCATACCAGTGAGGCCCATTAGTTGCATGTGATTCTCGGCGAAAGTGGCTGGAAGGAAATCAGAATCTAGCCCCAGATCGAATGGTGGCTCTTCTGGCAGCCCAGGCGCAGACATTGACAGAGCAACATCTTCAACCACAAGTGCTTGGTTGGGCGTAGATGGGTTCCGAAGCTGGAGCAGTGCAGCAGCTTCCTCCCACATTGGCGATGCAACTGCCCCTTCACCAGCAGGCTGTATAGCTTCCGAATGAGCACGCGATGATTGCCTTGTTGCATTGGATCGATTCCTCTCAATTCCAGATGGATCCGTGTTTCTGTTCAGCCATTCTGTCCAGAGGAGGTATTCAGAAGCCTCTGGGTTGACGTTCCCGTCGAATTGCGTCGAGCCGAACGGCCTGACCTTCGCCCGCGCCTCCTCGGCGATAGAGATGAGTGCTTCTACAAATCGTACTGCCATTCGACCAGCCATGTGCAAGTCGGCCATCCTTCTGAGACACCGCAAACCAAAGGCGACTCGGGCTTCGTAGGCTGAGTCTCGCGCCAGAATGCCGGTAAGGATCACAATGATCGTGGCGATACTGCAACCCTGAAAGTCCGTAAAGGAGCTTGGAGCCATGTTTCCTGATTGACTAGCGTCTTCGAGTATGTTCAACATCTTCTTTGCCGCGATGCCACATGATCTGAATTGCCGCGTTACATCATCATCTTCCGTTGCTGGAGGTTCCGGTATGCCTGTTGCAGCCGACCGTAAATGACTTCGAATCTTTGTAACGACAGACGTTTTACCTATGGCAATCCAAGCAAAGTAGTAGTTCAGATACAGATGGAACACGGCGCGGTAGTATGGCGAGCGAGGTTCCACATTTGGTAGACGTAAGTTGGGAGGCAGAGATCGTTTCCAGCTTTTCAGTGAAACCTCAAAGTCTTGCAGAGGAGGTTGAGAATTACTTGACCACGTACTGGAACATTGCCAGTCAGTATGAAAAGTCAACATGCACCAAGGGATAACTCACGCCGGCTCAATGAGAGTGTCAATGATCTTGACAAATCGCGCGTTGGCTACTTGGTGGTCCAAGTTATCGAACCTTTGCAAGGCATCAGTTGCTCGGTGCTGAGGTAGATGAGCCGTGATGACATCCTGAGATATCGATCTCGGGCGATTGAGCTTGATTGTCAGAGTTCTACGAAGAAGATGTCAATCCAGATTCACCGTGATGGAACTTAGTGCTGGCAAGGCAACTAACCTTTCGAGAGAAAATATAGCCCACCACAATCTTCGTCTCATCTCCCTCTCATGGCTGTCGATGTCTGGCTCTTCTGATTCATGGTGCAGTCCAAGAGCGATAGCTTTCCTCAAGGCGAGACCCATGTACAGGTACGAGGCTCCCACCGCACTCGATGGCATGAGATATACCCCAAGGACGAACGCCGCTTTGACAGAGTACATACTCACTCTATCCATGGTGTCTGCCATCAAGATCCGGGCATGATCGCAAAAAAACCGTCCAGGGTCTTCCAAAGGAACTAGAAGAGACCCAGACAGAGTGGATGGGCGGGCTCGCGGGCTCCAATGAGCTCCCAGAGCAAGAACTGACAGCAAAAGGCAGAGGAAGCTGGGGTCTCGTCGGAGAGGCGAGCTCAAGTCGTTATAAAACTTCTCTACTTCGGCCAGAAAAGAGGGTTGGTCAAAGTAGAAAAAACAGTCGGTCCCATGTTGAATGCAGAGCTTACTCAGGAAGATGGCTACAGATCTCGGCGGGAGGCTTTCGGTGGCCGCCTGCAAGCGGGTTGCTTCCGCGGACTGGTGAGAAGCGATGGTTCGCGACGAGCGAGCTTCGAGTCTAGCAATCTCTCTCTCGGCGGGTGACGAGTTTGGCTCGAGATAGAATGCGTTTCTAAGTCTGGACAGAAATCGTGGCCACATGAAATACTCAGGGGCATCACTGTCGGAGCAGAGATCCCGGCGGGATGGCTGAATGTTGTCCGGGGCATCAGCAAGGGGACCAGGGCTGGGGCTGGGACCCAGATCCGCAGATGATTCGTCATAGTCTCTTGGAGGCGATTGTAATACTCCTGGGGATATACTCGACCGCTGCGTGACGAAGCTACAAGCGTGTGAGCCTTGGAGACATCGTTGGCATATACCCGACGTCGTCTCAATACATTTGCTCTTACGGGCCTTACAACGGGTACAGGCCCGAGGCGCCCGCTTCCGATCCTCGTCTGCGACTCTACGGCGACGGCTCCGGCGGGATGATGGTAACGGAGTCATGCCGGTGACCGTGTCCGGCTCTTGTTTGAAGCCACAAGATAAGGTTGCGAAGGAAGACTTGGCAAGAAGCCGCACGATGGACATATTGCCGATAGTGTGCACGGGCCACTAATCGTGTGCCGGGCCGATGTACGATCATTCCTCTCTCCCACTCAACTATCTAACTACCTATTTGCAAGAGTCACTTTGGAGGTTTTGCTTGAGCGAAAGTGAGGGATTTGTCTTGCTGAAAATATTGGAAGGTCGTTGAAATAAATCAGGTAGTCTTGATTCTCGATGTAACTGCCTAACCTTGAAGCTTTCTGAGGTTACTCAGCTCTTAATCTCATGTGAAAGCCAGTACATCCATGATAACTTCAACCAGGTGGCCTCGATACTGCAGGTAAGGCGCTTCCATGCGGTGAAATTACCACCTACTACTTTTGGAAGATGTTGCTGAATGTGCCATCAATATACCTTATTGCGAAAGTGGAACTCGGTCACCCATCCACCCACCTGCCCATCAAGGTAACGGACACCTTCTTTCCTCTCACAATCACCTCACCAAGGAAGAACTGTGTGCAAAGTGAAGCCATAATACCCTGGCAGAAATGTTGAATTAAATCATGGCTCCCTAAATATTCCGATATGCTTTATTTTCATTTCCCAATACCGTTCCCTCCCTTTTTTTTTTTGGTTCATGTATATTCTTACATGATATCATTATATTGACGGTGTTGAATGGACCCTCATCTAAATCATCCTGATTTAAGCCTTGACAAAGGACTCGATGAATTTGGCCAGCTTCTGGGCACCCTCGAGAGGGATAGAGTTGTAGTTGCTAGCACGGATACCGCCGACGCTGCGGTGGCCCTTGAGGCCGGTGAGACCTTGGGCAGTGGACTCCTTGAGGAAGGCCTTCTCCGCGGCGTCAGTGTCACCGCCCTTGGTGACGCGGAAGCAGATGTTCATGCGTGAGCGGACGCTCTTGTCGGGGACGATGCGGTAGATGTCTGGGTGGGCCTCGAGGGCGGAGTAGATGAGTGAGGCCTTCTCATCAGCGATGGCTTCCTGGCCGTCGACCTTGTTTTCGAAAGTGCGGAGAAGCTTCTTGAGGACCTGGCCGGCGATGTAGACACTGTGGTGTAGTGATTAGTTGAGCGAAGAGAAAATGTGGACAGCTATAGAGAAATGACTCACTCAAAGATGCTCAATGTGTTGTACAAGCTGTTGTTCTTGGCAATGGTCTCGTATGAGAGAACGATGGGGGCAATAGGGAGACCGAGCTTGCGCATCAGCGCAGGAGAGGGCTGTGTGGCAAGAAGGCTCTTCTTGATGACGACGACGGTGATACCAGTAGAACCGAGATTTTTTTGCGCACCAAAGAAGATGGCACTGAAGTTCTTGACGGGGATGCGCCTTGAGAGGATGTTGGACGACATGTCCGCCACGACAATGGGGCCTTCGCCGTTCTCCTTGGGCGCCAGCGCACCAGGGAAGCCGTTGAACTCGACACCGTCGACCGTCTCGTTATCGCAGTAATAGACCATGGCGGCGTCCTTGCTGAGCTTCCAGTCCTTCTCGTCGGGAATCTTGCCAAACTTGCCGTCGTTGATCTTGCGGGCGTCGGCGGCGACGTTGACGAACTCCGGGCCGAGCAGCCTCGCGGCCTCGGCGCTGGCCTTTTGACTCCAGCCTCCAGTGACGAGGTAGTCGAGCTTGAGCTTCTCGTCGACAATCTTGCGGAGCTCGGCGACGACCTTTTCGTCATTCTCGTCGGTGGCGCCGAGGTTGGCCAGGACGGCGTCGCGCTGGCGGGCGATCCAGGCACCGACAAAGTTGTAGACGGTGGCAGAGAACTCGCCGCTCCCGCCGGCCTGCATGAAGAGGACCTCATAGTCGGAAGGGATGTCGAGGTAGGTGGCCAGGTCGGCCTTGGCCTCTTCGATGATCTTGGTGGCGATCTCGCTGCGATGGGAGTGCTCTGCAATGCCCAGACCGGTGCCGTTGAAGTCGAGGAGGGCTTGCGAGGCCGTCTCGAGGACGTCGGTTGGCAGCAGCGCGGGGCCGGCGCCGAAGTAGGTGATGTCGGCGCGGGAGGGCATGATGGGCGGAGCGGTTTCTCGGGGCGGTTTCAATTGGAGTTGGGGAAGTTGGGTTTGGGCGGAATTCGAACAAATGACAGACGCAGAAAAGGTTCTGGGCGGAGAATAGAATGGTAGATCAATTAGATTTATGTAGGGCTGAGACTTGTTCTAATGAGTCACGGGAAGACGGACTTGCGGTGGTGCCAGAAAAAAAAGTTGCTATTCCAGACGAGTAACCCCGCCAAAATGCGGAAGAGACACCGGTGTCGGAAACAACGACAGCGAAAAATGACGTGAGTGGATGGAGGGGTCGTTCCCCGGATTCTAGCGTGGGGATGCCGCTGGAATCGCATCGTGCTGGCCCGTCACCCGTGGCCCGTGGTGGGGCCCGGGCTTCAATTGCTCGCTTCGGCCACTGCATTCGATTAGGTAGGTACCATCCTTAGGTACTAAGGTAGTGACAAAGCACCCGACTGGACCAGTGGACAGTTGACAGTGGCCGCTGCACCTCATGCGCGAGGTGGGCGGGGGTACCAGGTAGGGTAAGGCACCTTGCCCTGAGGCTTGGGGGGCCTTGGGGGCCTTTCTTCCCCCTTCACCCTCGTCACGGTTACCCTCGCCTCGACAGGGGTGTGAGATAGAGATTGGGCTGGAACGGCTGTCATCCACTGCCACTGCCGTGCCGTGTTTCTCTCAACCCCATCACCAAATTGATCAACTACCACGATTGCCACGCCCCCCTTCCCCTCGATCGACGCCCTCTGCAGACTACACCCAGGGAATGCGACCTTAATGGCACGTCTAGCCGTTCCCGAACGTGCCCCCTTGTGATTGAGATCGCCGTATCAGCCTCTTCGTCGGGAAGCTGTTAATAAGATAATGTATTAATATCCCTCCCCCTTCTCGTCTTTGATGCATGTCTCCCACTCTCTCAAGATTGACCTACATAAAACTCCCCCCACGTATCCACCATTTTTGATATCCCGTACATCACGTACATACACCTGCAGCTTCTTGATTTGTCTTTCTGTACATGTCTAGTAGTACCGCTATTGTCTTCGTGTGCTGATTCGCGTGTTCAAGGGACGAGGATTTGTCAGAAGTGCCGCCAGGCATGGCGGACCGCAAGGGGGCGGACGCCGCGAAGCATTCCCATTCCATTCCCGCGGCGTCTTTCCGTGAGTATCTCACCTCACCTCACTAGCAAGCACGGTGTTCCTTGGCAGCGCGCCTCTTGGCTAATACGCCCCCTCCTCAGCTACGCACAACTCGCCGAGGACCTGGTTCTTGACTACAGCCCTCTCGCCGCTCGTCATCAGGCTCATCAGACTGCTCCTGGGCCACGGTGACTATGTCGTCGCGTGTCTGCCGCCGAGCGAGATTGAGGACGATGGCCGCAGCGCCGAGTTTAGAGAGTTGATCAATGAGTGTAAGAGCAACCGTAAGGACCGCGAAGGGTGGAAGGACAGGATACGTGGTATCCGCTGCGATGGGCGCGTCATGGGCCAGTGCGGCGCCGCCGTGGCCGAGGCCGTTCAGGTGTTTGGGAGGATCGACATTCTCTTATGTTGCAAATCCGAAGGTATCTCATGGCGAGCCCCCTTTTGATGTGAATGACACAATGCTAATAACCCCCTTCAAAAGCCGTCGTGGGGAGCGTGGAGGAGCTATCTACGAATCCTCTAACACAGAACCTAGTCCGCGACCAGTTTGAGACAATCTTCTTCTCACAGGTCAATTTCATCAAGGCCGCCCTGCCACTCCTACGCTCACAGCACACGGGACACATCATCATCCTCTCCAGCACGGGCGGCCACATCGGCACGCCGGGGATGCCCATCTACACGTCCGCCATCTGGGCCCTCGAAGGCTTCTGCGACTCCCTAGCCTACGAGATCGCCCCCTTCAACATCAAAGTCACCATCGTGCAGCCCAACAAAGAGATCCAGTCTCTCACCAACAAAATCATCTTCGCGCCCCAGCTGCCGTGGTACGACGCCGAGGTCAACCCGGCGCCCAGCGTCCGCGACATGCTCGGCAACGTTCTCAACATGAACCCGGACACCGCCGTGCCCGACCTCAACGAGACCGAGGAGGTCCAGGTGCGGTATCCGAAGCTGCCGCCAAGCGCTACCGATCGCCTCGTCTTGGAGACGGTGCACGCCCTGACGGCCATTGGCGGGCACGAGAACCCGCCGGCGAGACACATTGTCGGGTTCGAAGGCGCGACCGCGGTCAAGGAGAAGCTCAAGACGGTGACGGAGGAGCTCGAGGATTTTGTGGACGCGAGTCTGGCTGTTGACATATTCGATAGCGAGCTCAAGGCCGAGGCGAAGGAGGGGAAAACGAGGGAGTCTACGCCACCTGCGCCCGCGTCAACTGCATCGGGCTGAGCTAGAGCAAAGTCGATATGAGCCGAGAATATCTACACGGACTCTGCTGTTGTAATTATCTTCCATTTTTGATCATCTATAGGTATCTGGAAAAACCAATACAAGCGTGAAGCGTACCTAATGCTATCCGTTCGTGGCAAAGTCGTGCGTGGCATGCTGTTCCATCCAGCCGACGCGTCCACTTCACACGACCCATTAACCCAATGACCAATTCCTAACGCGGTCTCACGAAGTTGACTCATCTCCCAGGACTGAGCGGCCGGTTGAACCCACCCTGCCGATTCATGTACTGGCGATATTCCGTCTTCTTCTCCTTCCTCACAGTCCCGACATTATTCCCCGCAATCTTCTGGCCCTTTGTCGATCCGAACCCGCCAAAGCCGAGCATCGCCTGCATGGCCGCCATATCGTCATCCTCCACCTCGGGTTCAGGTTCGTCATCGTCCTCGCTTCGATCGTCTCGGCCGCGACCACCACCACCACCACCACCACCACCACCACTCATCGGCGTATCTCCACCGCGTTCACTGTCCCTCCCGCTGTCAAAGTGCGGCGAGTCGTGCCGTCCGACCTTGAAGGACATGGTATGCTGCTGCTCCTTCTTCCCCCTTTGAACCGTGCGCGTGGGTAGGGACTCGGTGTATCCGCCGCCGCCGCCGCCTTGCTCGCGACGGGACGCACCAGGCTGCGGCGGGCTGCCGCTTCGGCGTGGGGAGGCGGATCGTCTGCGGTCTCTGTTGTCGCGCGGTGTACCTTTTCGCACAAGTCAGTTAGCAAATCTTTGTTGCGCCGACGCAAACGAAAATCAAACAGTAAGTAATCAGGGGACAAAAAACTTACTGCGCTGTCCCTCATCATCGTCTCCAAACTGCCGCCTCGGAGGCCTCTCGTCCATCGTCGCCGGCTCATCATCGTCTCTGCGCCGCCTGGTGCTGTCCCTTTCATCTCGCCCTTGCCAACCACCGCGGTCTCTGCGCGGCGGCCTTGCGCCTCCATCGCGGTCGTCGCCGCGTCCGGGGTGGTGGCCGCCGCTCTCGCGGTCTCTGGATCTGGGACGGTGGTCTCTGTCGCGGCGGTCGCGGGATCGGGAGCGGTATCGCCTGGCGCCGTCGTCTTTCCTGTCGCGGTCGTCTCGTCTGCCGCCGCCGTCGCGGTCTCTGTAGCTTTCGCGGTCTCGGTCTCGGTCTCGTGGGCCGCCTCCTCCGCCGCCGCCGCCGCCGCCGTGGCGACTGCGTCGGTCGGGCTCGTCCCAGGTTTGTCTGCTATCGCGTCCGCGACCCATTCTGTGTGTGTGCGTTCTTGAGAATTGAGGCGGGGTGGGGTGTAGAAACAGATACTTGGTGGTATGGAATTCTTATTTAGACTTAAGAAATAACGTCACTGTGAGGCTGAGGAAATTTTGGGGATGGCAATCTTTAGACGGGTTGATGTTGGGCAGGCACCTGAAAGGATGCTTAATTGGGCAGAGTTTAAGCTTTCCGCCCCCCAAATTTTAGCGCGGGAGCCTTGCAGGAGCCCAGTGGTCGGACAACGCTGGGCAAGCTCCACTGAGCTTACTGGAAAGCTCTAGCGGGTTCACTGTATGCAACACCACGACACGTCAATCTTGAGACATCACGATGTAACTTCACACAGGTCGAATGCTGTCATCCACCGAGGTGATGCATCTTTCAAGGCAGACAAGAAAGAAAAATCAGCACGAGGCAAGGACATTCGGCGTCTTCTTCACTGCCCTGGACAAGCCAGAGCAAGCGATGAAAAATCAAGTTTAGTTTTTTTTTTTTTTTTTTAGTTTTTTTGCGTCACCTGGAGGCAGTGTGATACCAGGGACACGGTGGGAAGCGGTGATATGGCAAGCCAAAGGGACCGCTCCCCGAAAAGATCAAAAATAGGAATAATATTGATTGTCCCCCATTGGGGGACTTCCAGATATTAAACTGAAAAGAACAGATACTACACTTGATCTAAGCCAAAATGGCAAAGAAGAGCTGAGGAGAAAAGAAGGAAAAGTCAAAAAGTCGTGGGTGGAGGAGGGGTTGATATAGGTTTTGGGCATGGCCTGTGCCGCGGCCCCCGATCAGTAAAGATACGTACTGGAGATACCCTGATGAGTGCCGTATGATTCAATGGGCAGGATCGAATTTCTTGATTGGTGAGTTCGATAATCGAGTGGTTGATGCCTGGTGATGGGAGGCAGCCGCGAGACATTGCTTCCTTCCGTTTGATATTTTGGCCTCAGTTGGGGAGGAAGGCGGGCCACTACCTCAAGTTGGCTTCACAATGGCCTCAGTCTGTGATGATGCCTAGCTAAGGCAAGGTAGGCAAGGTAGCCTGCATTCACCTCGCCAAAGTCCCTTCGTAACCAACCGCCCTTTCATGTTCACTCTCCAGATGCCTCAGGGATATGCCATCTTCATGTTGCCTTTGTAAGAGGAAGTATCATAATCGTAAGAGTGTGTCTTGCCTCGGCGGCGAGGCCGCCTAAATCTCATCCTCCTCGTCGTCAAAGTCGTCCTCCCTGCCCATCTCATACAGGATCCTGCCACCCTCACCAGCCCCTATGTCCGTTTGGGCGTCAAAGTAAGGCAGAACGATACCCTCTCTGTCCCTTCGCTGTTTCTCTGTGAGACCCAGGTTGAACGTGCTCTCCGGCTCCTCATCCTCCACGTTACCTGCTTCTGCCTCTCCAGAACCTTCAGGGGCAGCGAAAACGGGGTGCTCCGAGAGTAAGAAAATTTTCGAACCCTTTGCTGCAACAGCAGCAGAAGCTGTGGAAGAAGAAACGTGTCCCTTTGTTGGCAAGATGACAAACTTCTCTGCCATGGCCCGCCCGCTACGCCTCCTGACCTCCATCTCGACCACGACGCCGTGATAGTCCTCCGACTTGACGTCGCCCTTGAGCCCGACGAGGACGCCCTCCCGCCCTTCCCCAAGTCCCCATTCTGGTTCCTGCAGGCTCCTGTTTCGCGCCTTTTGGCGCTCAATCTCCTGCCGCAGGCCCGAGAGCCGCAGGATAGAGGTTGCCAGGTGGGAGAGCACCGTCAGCGGGTGCGGCTCGTACTCGCTCACCGTGTGCGGGAGGACGAGGGGCACGTCGGTGTGGTAGACGGCCACCAGCGACACGGCGGGCATGATAATGCTGGAGAGGAAGCTGGGCAGGACCTGCGGCGCCGCTGTGGCGAGCTCGTTGAGGGAGTCGAGCAGGACTACTGTTTCTAGGCGCAGGATGTGTGAGTCAGAGGGTGAGGTGTGTCATTGTGAGGCCATTGAGAAGAGACCACAGGATATGGGGGCGGCGGCACTCACTTTGAGGAGGAGGTGCACTCTTGGCTGCCGTAGGGTCCATCTTGGGATAATGTGAAAGAATCTCTGCTCTCAGCGCCTTGAGGTTTTTGCCGCGGGCTCTGACGACGACGTCCACGCCTCGTGGGCGTTTGAGCGTCGCGAAAGAGAGCAGAATTACCTTGGCCTTTGCAACCTATATAATTCATTAGCACCAGAAATGCGAAACAGAACATTCGAACCGGTGATTATGTCTTTATGGACAGGAAACACATCATCTATCTACAGAGTCATGAAAACCAAAAGCGCATACCTTGGCTCGGGAGACGAACTCCCGAAGGACTGGCGCGGCGCCTTGCTCAAGACTGTCCAGCATCAAGGTCAAAGGGCTTGCACCATCCCTCAGGTTGAGCAACTTCTGGAACAGTAAGAGGCTGTGTGACCGGCTGTGGTTCTCCGCCGAGGGTGCCATCGTGGCAGGTCTTGAGAGGGATATTCCCAATGTATGGTGGAAGAAGGACTTTGCTGAGCAGTTTCCGAGGTAGATTCGCGAATCCTCTCGTAGTTGGTGTTCTCTAAATAGATCTGCGAGACTGTAATGAGGGGAATTTGCACAAAAAAAAAAGCCTGCTCGGATTAGTCCGTAAGATGATTGAGAGTAAAGTGTCAAGGTGCGATTTCTGTGATGGACGCTTTTCGCCCACTCAATTTGGGGTTTCTCGGTGATGTGGGGCACTGATCGAGACTACCACCTTCGGGCGTCAACACCAGAACCTTTCACCGAAGCCGACACCAAGTATTACGTTACGATCATGGGTCTTTCAACGCAAAGGGGTTCATAATGGCTTGGATCATATTGCTAGGTCCCATAGCTATCAGGCCCTACCAAAGAAAGCCCGCCTTCAGACGACAATCCAGACGATTCCGTGACGCCCTGCATACAGGTATCTCCGACCTGCCTGAATTCCATTCCCTTTCATGAATCATGATTCGTGATGCTGCATATGAACAAACGCATTTGCATATATCTCCTATCGGCAGCTCTCAGCCTTGATGCTCTGGCACCTTCACGCCCTCTTGAGCGTCGCCAGCAGGAGAATGCTTCCCTCGGATGAGCTTTCATCAGTTTCCTTCCATGGTTGCCTGCTTCTTTCCCTTCTGCTTCTCTGTCTCTGTGCTTGGTTTTTGATGATTGTTCTTTGAGGATGACTCGTCAGAAGAAACGCTCCCAAGCGGCACCTGCGAGGATTCTGGCACCTGCTCTTTGGGGGAGACCTCGGTAGTAGCTGTGCCAATCTTCGCTGATGATATGTCGTCAGGAAAGGGAGACCCAAGTGTGACACCCGGTGCTTCTCTGGCATCAGTCTCCTCTGCCTTATTAGTGTCACCCGTCGTATCCGTAGTCGACGGGGCGTTCTCAATCGCAGCCTTCGTCTCCTTCACCTGTTTGATGACCTCTCCCTCCACTTGGACCTTGTCGATACTCTTCCCCTTTGCTGAGTTGGCGATCTCCTCCTTCTGATCGACATGGGCCTTCCCAACTTCCGCAGGCGCAGCAGGGCCTGGTGCATTGCCACTTCTGTTTGGCTTAAAGCCCTCTGGCAACTTGCACGACCACTCATCCTCAAACTTTTGCGTAACGTAGTCGTCAAACTCGCCCGCCCGCCGCCGCTCCCGCGCACCCCACGCCTGCTCGAGCCACTCGGGATCGTGCTTGCCCAGGGAGATGTTGTCGGCGTACGTGGCACAATCGTGGCGGAAGTTGTTGTTGTTGCGGAGTGCGTCAAAGTCCGGTCGGGCTTCGTCGGTGCCGGCATCGAGGATACGTGTGCCAGCTGGGAAGAGGCTGACGATTTCGGCACGTTCCTCCTTGGTGAGTATGTCCCACGCCGCTGGCTGGCAGAGCATCGCCTAGAGAGAGTCGCGGTATGTCAGCGTACTCGAATCGAGACAAGAATTCCTTGGGTGACATAACACTGTCCCTTCTAAGCCGCGATAGTTCACTTACTCTCAGATTCGCGCTGGCAAGCGGCGACTTGAGATCCGTTAAGAGCTTCTGCGTTGTCCATTTTGGCCCCTTCTTGGGCACCACTCTGGTAGGCTGCTTTCTCTTAACAACTTTCGGCGGGGAAGCAGTCGCGGGCTTGGGCTTATTCGAGTTGCGCGCTGAACGTCGCGCCATGTTGGGTAGATCTGTGCCAGGAAGATGTGTGTTGATAGCTTCTGATCCCGGGTCGTCCCGCGCCTTGGGTGAGTCGATAGCCTCTTTGGGAGAATCTTTCTTGGCTTTTTGGGAAAGTCCCTCGTAGTCTGAGCTGTACGTGGGTGGAGGGGAGAGGTCAGATGATGATGACGAGGACGAGGATGGAGCGCAAGCGTCTGCCATCTCTATATCCGATGCGACTTCTCCCATTTTGACTGAGTGGCCGGGCGGATGGAGAACGTTTGCCGGTTCACGTTCACGGTGTTAATGGAAGGTTTCCTGGACCGGGTATTAGCCCAAAGGAGTTCAAAGAACTGTGCTATAAAATAACATTGAAAGAATCCTGTCGTTTCTGGAAGGTACGTGTCGCAGTTTTGACAGCATGGGAAGGACCTCCTTTGCTGATTGTTTCCCACAAAGCCGTTTCCAGACATGAGATGTTAGTAAACACATGTTAAGAACTTACAAACGGCACTCTAATAACAATAATAAAGATGAGACTACAGCGCCCTAGGCAGTTTGAAAACAGAACAATCGAGTCCTTATCATTGAAACCCGAGGTCTTGGAAAAGCACAGGTGGTTTGTGCTAGATAATGATATGGCAGAATGAGGTCATGTTCCCGCCGCACCTCCCTTCAAATGTGTGTAAGTGAGGTGGTTAGAGTTGAAGAATAACTCATGAGAGCAGAGCACTGAGTGAGTTGAGACGGTCACTAATAAAAGTAACTCAGTACCTAAACAAGGCTGGATGGACCGAGCCACGGGCGCCACATAGACCACCAAAAAAGCAGGGGCTACACCACCGCGCAAGCCCTCCAATTGGCCAGTGATGACCACCCATGGTGTCATCTTCAATACTAGTACGTGTAGAGCTTCCGTCCCTATTGCAGGACATATTGTCGACGGCGATCCTTGGTTTTTGGTTTACTTGCTAGCGAAAAAGCGACCACCCCTGGCTCGGAAAAAGGACACAACAACGAACACCTCAACGATACCTCGAATAAAGTAGCGTGACTTTGATTAACTCAGTCGGAGATACCAAGCCACTCCAGTACAACCTCTCGTCAACCCGTGCATCCGAATAGCCTGAGAATAGGTATCGAAGCTATCTCAGAGGACACGTCGATACAACACCAACCAACTGTCGATAGCTCGTTTGCTATACCCACCCACTTGACCTACGAGCGACGACAACCTCTTTTCCAAACAACACACGCAAGCAAATAAACACACACAATGATTCGCTCAACTCAAATAGCAAGGCTTGACGGTACGCACGCGCGCGCGCGCACTCATCCCCGTACCGAGAGCCACCCTCAACTAACACCCAGCTCCTAGGCCTCATGCTCTGCGCTTCCGTCGATGACGAGCAACAAGAAGCAGCTCTCTCCGAAGTCAAGTCGCAAATCAAACAAGTCCTGCGCAAGCTCACCCGCAACTCGGAACCCCAAGCTAGCATCGAAAGCGGCGCCTACAACCTCAAGTCCGTCTACCCCTCTCCTATCTACCCCCTTTACACCGAGCGAAGCCTGTCGAAAAGAGAAGAAGAAGAAGAAGAAGAAGAAGAAGAAGAGGAAGGATTCAACATCTTTGCTAACCTTTGTGCCCCAAACAGCTACCTAATGGACTCGGACATCACCTTCATCTGCATAACAGACAAATCCTACCCGCGCAAGCTAGCCTTCACCTACCTCTCCGACCTCGCCCGCGAGTTCACGACAACCTACCCCGTGTCCCAGCTCCACTCCCCCTCCCTCCGCCCCTACGCCTTCATGGAGTTCGACACCTTCATCTCCCGCACCAAGTCCACCTACTCGGACGCCCGCGCTTCCCAGAACCTCGACAAGCTCAACGACGAGCTGCGTGACGTTACAAAAGTCATGACCAAGAACATTGAGGACCTCTTGTATCGCGGCGACTCCCTCGAGCGCATGGGCGAGCTCAGCTCCCGCCTGCGCGACGACAGCAAAAAGTACAGGCGCGCCGCCGTCAGGATCAACTGGGAGCTGCTGCTCAAGCAGTACGGTCCCCTTGGAGCGCTGGGGTTCATTGTGATCGTCTTCTTTTGGTGGCGGTTTTTCTAAAGTGGTGAATAGGGCTTGGTTTGTTCACTTTGGGCGGGTGCGAACGAGAGGAACAAGGGACGGGTTGACCTCCCTTTGGGGTTGTTGGATCCTTGGTCTGAGAAAGGCAAAGGTTCTTTGACGATGTTGGGCGTTATGTTGGCGACTGTGTATATCTCTCTGAATTCATGTACATCAATCAAATTACAGCACGGACTTCTCAGGTGAATGCAGGGGAAGACGGAGAGGGGCAACAAAATAAGACTTGGTCTTTGTGTCTTTAATGTGGAATATGATCCGGCACTACCTGACTGTGGTATCTCTGTTGCTGCGCATCTGCCCAAGCTGATGATGAGGGCCACCCCCAATACTAGTGAAATAGCCTTCTGCCATCGAATAAAGTAAATGATAATTCCATAAGTCATAGGTGCGGATGAGACAACGTCCGCCCTCTTTGGAAGCCCCCAACGCCTCGCCATTGTCAAGACCACACATTGTGAATATATGTACACGAACCAACCGCCATTTTAACGCCACCAATAAGAATCATTGTCGAATTAATGATGTCACATCACCACACAGTCCTTGGCTGCCTTGGGCAAGGGGACGGCGGGTATTGATGCAGCTGTGTGTTGCCACTCCAGGTGCTCCTGGAAGGCCTGGAGATCTTCGAAGCCAGATTCGTCCTGGGTATTCCGCATTTCGTCGTCGCTATCACCGCCTGCCTCGGTATATGGCGCCTCATCGCAAAAGGGACATAGGAGTCGGGCTACCCAGTCTCCCTGATATGGCGCCATATGGTTCGCTATTGCCAGAGGCGCGAATATGACCGTCTTCTCCTCTCTTCGTTTGTCGGCGGTGAACCCGGTCGCCTGCCAGTTTGGCATCCCGGTCGTGGGCGAAATAGGCGGTACTGGGCGCGTGCTGGATTCCTCGGCTGTCCGTAATGATGGCATGCTCTCCAAGTCTTCCCATACGAGATGACCGTCGCAAAAATCGCAAACGAATGCAATGCCTCCGTCGCCAAACCGCTCAAACTTGCCACTTGTGTTGCATGCTACTACTTCTTCCACATGTCGTCGGTGGTGCTCCTCCTCCGAAGTAGCAGGCCGATTCTGCCATTCCCGCTGTTTTCTGTAAACGAGAAAGGCGCCCAGACATCTTGCTGAGGCCTCTTGCTCTGCCGCAAATATCCTCCTAGCCGCTCGGCATTGTGCGCGGTGTAGTTCGCGGCGCAGTTGCGTCGTTTCTCGTGCCCATACCGGGTTGATCGGTCCGCCTGTCCTCGCCCAATCTTTGAAATTGTCGATATGATGCTCAATCTTGGACTGTAAAGCTTGCAACTCGGCTATTGACGGAGCTTGAAGGCGAAATAGTTAGCAAGGGTTCATTCATAGCCAGTTGTGCGTGACGTGAGCTAGCACGAAGCGAGATTTGACGGGGAGCTGGCTGGCAATCGCAGAGGCCTCCCTCTCACCGCTGTAGCGCAGGGCTCCGTAGAGACTCGACCAAGCTCCCAAGCCAGCACAGAGCAATCAAGAACTGTGTAAGTGGGCTGGTGGACTCACGTTTGCGGTCGTTCATGTAGTAGCGCTGTCCGTTGACAAGGACAGATAGCTCCTGAAAGTCCTTCTTGGCGTCGTCGAGGGTATCCTCCAGCAGGCGCAATTGCTCGTGCTCGTCAGGTCCCCATTGGCGCTTATCGGCGAACTTCAAGATACGCAGGCCATCGCTGACGAGTGTCGCAATGGCAGCCAGAAGGGACCCGACGGTAGGGCTGCTCATGATTCGGCGAGCCCTCCGGTTTCCTCGAAAGTGTCCTTTTCGAGGGAATCGTTGGGGGAATCAGGAGAGTGTTGCTTGGCGGCGACACACAACAATGAGATCGAGGGGTAGTCAGACTTTGGCGGTGCGGTGCGGCGCGCGCCCCAATGATAAATGGGCGTAGGAGCGCCCCCTTTGGGCCCTTTGGGAGGGGGTAAAATATCCCGACTGGGGGATCAGGGGACTGGAGCTGGAGCTGGAGCGAAGTGAATGACGGACGGCGGGCGCGGGCACGCGGGCGGCACGGCCACACCGTCCGAACAGGTTTTGTAGCTTACGTTTCCCGTAGAGTAGGTCTTGGCTCCCTCCCCTTTGGAGCGAACGGGGTGCCGGGGACGACCCTATTTGGGATGATGAGAGACGTCAGGTACGCGTTGTGGAACTCCACTGTCCACTGCGTACGAGGCAGCGTGGACCTCGAATCCCCGTCGATCGAACCGAAGGTCCGGAGCTCTGCTTGGCGGGTGCGTTCGCTGTAGTCCGGCAACCTTTTGGGTACGGCTTGTGTGCTTGTGTGCTTGTGTGCTTGTGCTTGTGCTCTCTGAAGCGTGCTAGGCGGGCTTCAAAGCAAATTTCTCGACGTGGTTGTTGCTGGGGGACCCTATGCGGCCGTCCGTATGTCATGACCGGAGCGGACGCATGGGACGAACTTGAAGCGATGGACGGGGGAACCCGGGCATGTGACAAACGGAGGGACCGAGAGGCTCAAACGGAGGTCGAATAGAGGAGGAACCCACGCGACGGTAACCGGGAAAACGTCGAAGGGCAACGTGGTGAAAGGAGGGAAGAGTCGTGTGGGCAGGAATGTGGAAAGAAAGTTTACGGAAAAGAAAAGGTAATTACGAGACAGAAAGATACGGGAATATGAGAGAAAGAAAAGAGAATGGGGAGTTTGAGAAAGATTGCGTTCGGTCGTTATGTTCCCTGGTTGGTTGGTCCTGGTGTGTGTGTGTGTGTTTGGTTGACTACTCCGTACGCTGGCTGGGCGAAGGAAGGAACGGACTGGATCCAATCCTCCTAACTTCTAAAAGGTAAGTATTATGCGGCTGTCAAAGACGGAGGGAAACGAGGGAACTTTAGGTTTTGAGGGTGCCTCTGAGAGTGGATGACCTGGTCAGCCATGACTGCTTTGGGCAACTTTTAACTCTTCGTATTGTCGATGACATTTGGAAGGCCCCAACTGGGGAGGGTCCAAGGGGGATGGGGGCCCTCTTGTTTGCTTCCCGAATCCCGTCACCTTCCATGAAACCTCCAGAACCACCTCATGTTCATCTTACGAAATACACTCTCTTCCTTGACCTCGAATCCATTCCATTCAAACA